GTGTACAAAAGATAAGTGTACATAAGATAAGTGTACACAGGATAATTGTACATAAGATAAGTGTACATAAGATAAGTGTACATAAGATAAGTGTATAAAAGATAAGTGTACACAGGATAAGTGTACATAAGATAGGTGTACATAAGATAAGTGTACATAAGATAAGTGTACATAAGATAAGTGTATATAAGATAATTGTAAATAAGATAAGTGTACATAAGATAAGTGTACATAAGATAAGTGTACATAAGATAAGTGTACATAAGATAGGTGTACATAAGATAAGTGTACATAAGATAAGTGTACATAATATAAGTGTACATAAGATAGGTGTACATAAGATAAGTGTACATCAGATAAGTGTAAATAAGATATGTGTACATAAGAAAAGAGTACATAAGATAAGTGTAAATTATATAAGTGTACATAAGAAAAGTGTACATAAGATAAGTGTACATAAGATAAGTGTACATAAGAATAGTGTACACAGGATAAGTGTACATAAGATAAGTGTACATAAGATAAGTGTACACAGGATAAGTGTACATAAGATAAGTGTACATAAGATAAGTGTACATAAGATAAGTATACATAAGAATAGTGTACATAAGAAAAGTGTACATAAGATAAGTGTACATAAGATAAGTGTACATAAGAATAGCGTACACAGGATAAGTGTACATAAGATAAGTGTACATAAGATAAGTGTACACAGGATAAGTGTACATAAGATAAGTGTACATAAGATAAGTGTACATAAGATAAGTGTATATAAGATAAGTGTAAATAAGATAAGTGTACATAAAATAGGTGTTCATAAGATAAGTGTACATAAGATCAGTGTACATTAGATAAGTGTACACAGGATAAGTGTACATAAGAAAGACGATGGAGTAATATTTCAAGAGAGCATATATACGTACATTTAAAAACCAAGGAACTAATAATTTAAGGTGGAAACGTAAAATTGTTTGTTCGTTGTTTAACGCTGCACTGAGCAATATTCCAGCTATATGACGGCGGTCTGTAAATATTCGAGTCTGGACCAGACAATCCAGTGATTGACATCAAGAGCATCGATCAACGCAACTGGGATACGATGACATGCATCAACCAAGTCAGAGAGCCTGACCACCCGATCCCGTTAGTCGCCTCTAACGACAAGCATAGTCGCCTTTAGGGCAAGCATGGGTTGCTGAAGACCTATTCTACCCCGGATCTTCACGGGGTCGGGAAACGCAACAAGGGAAGCCATTGGGTATAAGCAGTGATTGGTGATTAGCAATGGACACATGGAGGCCAGTAGGATTAATTAGGATGGGTTGGGGGTGATAATGCGACAGATTGATGGTTGCACAGATTACTTACCTCCATAAGTTTTTCAAAAAGTGGGGATCGGTCCTCCTGCACCACCAGTCGTTTGTTCCCTTTACGAATCTAAAAAAATTGTACAAGCTTTATAAAACTATGTTCTCGCATTTAAATATTGATGACTCCCTGAATATAATACTTTCTCGGAAATGTCGGACAAGTTCATTTTACGAACAGGTGGGTTGAGTTTGGTATTTCCAGCATATTCCTACAATCCTCACGTCGATTGACTGTACTTTTTCTCCTAATACCGGGGGCACGAGTGGACCAGTCGTCTAAGGCGCCGCGATTCGCTGTGCAGAGTTGCGTACCTTGGGCACGCCAGAAAGTTATGTTTGTGGTATGTTTGTGGGTTCTAGGTTTGTCAGCACCATACCCGTGCTCGTGGGTTTCACCGAAGTGTAAAACGTCTGAGACCTGCATCACGTCGGGCTTTCCTCCCACATTAAGCTGACACGCCGTGATATAACTGGAATACTGTTAAAAGCGGCTTTAAACCCAACTCACTCACTCACTCCTAATACCGGGGGCTTTCGGGTAGCCTACTGGTTAAAGCGTTCGCTCGTCACGCCGAAGACCCGGGTTCGAATCCCGACATGGGTATAATGTGTGAAGCCCATTTCTGGTGTCCCCCGCCGTGATATTGCTGGAATATTGTTAAAGCGGCGTAAAACCAAACTCACTCACTCACTCCTAATACCGATTGTCATTTCTCTCCCACTTTTGGAATTCTATCGTTCGGCCACTGTGTTAATCTGCGCAGCCCAGCTACAGCTATTGGGAACAACTTACCAGACACTCTCAAAAATAACGTCGTCCTAAATTAGACGTCATCAAGTTGCGAGCGCATATTCGACTCCAGAAATGACGTCATGATAGAACAATGTTTTATCGTGAAATAAACCACGCTTCGTTCTTCATTGTTCTTTGCGATTTATAGCAGAGCTATTTTATATTGTACGATTAACAACTCCCACTCGTCGTTTATTTCTTCAATAAATGTTTGGTCATATAATAAAATATTAAAAATACCCCGTGAATGCATTGTAACTATGTAGTTGATAGTTTTTTTCGTTCATTTACGTTTGATGTATTTCTTTTCGATTATTATTACGTACGTACTTATATTGTACGTACTAATATAGTTTAGTGAGTCTGGTTTAACGCCGCTTTTAACGGTATTCCTGTTATGTCACGGCGTGTCAGCTTGATGTAGGAGGAAAGCCTGGAGTGATTCAGGTGTTCCACCTCGAGCACGGGTATGGTGCTGACATTATTAAACATTGTTTATGTCGGCACAAACGTCCAGGCTTCCGTTGGTTGTGGCCGTCCAATCAGATGCGGGGAGAGCATTACAAATCTTTCCGAACACGGAACATACCGACAACACAGCTTCATGATCAGGACATGGGAGACCAGGGTGATATCTGAACCCAGCGCTATTGGTTCACGGCTCATGCCAGTATCTGTGTGCCTGTGTTCCGTGCCTCTGACCTGCGTTTTTTACGCCCCAACGTAGCCTCTGCGACTTCGTTACCGCACGCGCTGGAAGATCGAAGCGTTAACGCACGTCGATTTGTAGATAACGAGAACGCGGCTGTACATTGTTGCTACTTTGTGTTTACTGGTGTGTTTCTTTCGTCATTTTCACCATGGCAGTGATAGTGTTCGGCCGTCTCGATACCAAGACATCCCCGGATTTTACACACTCACGGTGCTCAGCTGGGCTGTCAGGATGAGCACGCTGTGTGGACGAATTCAGCCCAAATATTGGTTTTCCCTCTGTGGCACTCTCCTGAACTGATAACACCCTGTGTTAAGGCCGATATGTACCTTGGCTGTTGATTAGTGTGTGATATTATACTTCCCGTACATGTGTCATTAGTCTTCGCGTACATGTGACATTAGTCTTACAGTACATGTGACATTAGTCTTCCCGTACATGTGACATTAGTCTTCCCGTACATGTGACATAAGTCTTTCCGTATATGTGACATTAGTCTTCCCGTACATGTGACATTAGTCTTCCCGTACATGTGACATTAGTCTTTCCGTATATGTGACATTAGTCTTCCCGTACATGTGACATTAGTCTTCCCGTACATGTGACATTAGTCTTCCCGTACATGTGACATTAGTCTTACAGTACATGTGACATTAGTCTTCCCGTACATGTGACATTAGTCTTCCCGTACATGTGACATTAGTCTTCTCGTACATGTGACATTAGTCTTCCAGTATATGTGGCATTAGTCTTCCAGTACATGTTTCCTTGGTCTTCCAGTATATGTGACATTAGTCTTCAGGTATATGTGACATTACTCTTCCAGTATATGTGACATTAGTCTTCAGGTATATGTGACATTACTCTTCCAGTATATGTGACATTAGTCTTCAGGTATATGTGACATTACTCTTCCAGTATATGTGACATTAGTCTTCAGGTACATGTGACATTACTCTTCCAGTATATGTGACATTAGTCTTCAGGTATATGTGACATTACTCTTCCAGTATATGTGACATTAGTCTTCAGGTATATGTGACATTACTCTTCCAGTATATGTGACATTAGTCTTCAGGTACATGTGACATTACTCTTCCAGTATATGTGACATTAGTCTTCAGGTATATGTGACATTACTCTTCCAGTATATGTGACATTAGTCTTCAGGTATATGTTTCCTTGGTCTTCCAGTATATGTGACATTAGTCTTCAGGTATATGTGACATTACTCTTCCAGTATATGTGACATTAGTCTTCAGGTATATGTGACATTACTCTTCCAGTATATGTGACATTAGTCTTCAGGTATACGTGACCTTAGTCTTCAGGTATATGTGACATTAGTCTTCAGGTATACGTGACATTAGTCTTCAGGTATACGTGACATTAGTCTTCAGGTATATGTGACATTAGTCTTCAGGTATATGTGACATTAGTCTTCAAGATGAAGGAGTAGGGGGTGGGGACTCTGGGGGGTAACAAAGTAGAGTGTTATCTGTAACATCTATCCAAACATACTTCACAGTCGGCTGTGCGACATAAACTAAGGCAGCAATTTATACTTATCTCTTTCATTTAAATAAACTTTATCTAAAAAACTTATTGTTAAAAAATAGACTTCTCTCAAACATCCGTACAATGGTATCACACGTCCGCATATTTTTTGTTAAAATGTTTCGTATCTAACACGAATTCTTGAAAGTTCGCGTTCTACCATCACCAACACAGCTGACAATGCAGCACATGGAGCACAACCATTCTTCCCGTCCCGGGTACCCGCGTTGCCAACACTCCCTCCCTGGCGTTTGAGGAATTCTCTCGAACGGTTTTCCGTGACATCACAATTCTATATTTGTCGGGGTATTCTTTCGAATACTTTTATCAGAATGTAAAGCTCTACCCGTAGATACTGTATGTTGCTGCGTGACGTCACAGTTTTCGCGCCGTCTTCAAACCAGTACGAATGACACGACGATGAAAGTATCAACACAATACTTGAAAGTGTTACGGTCGTGGTACTAGTGTTCCCGTAATTAGGGGCACACGCCCTATTTATAGAACAGGATATGTTGGGGTATAAAATACAGAGTGGTAGGGTAGACTGTCGTACAGACGAGATGAGCATTATTCCCGTGATGAGTGGGTGCAGAAGTCTGTTTCTGGTGAGTGTTTCACAATCAGGTTTAAATCCCCAGTGCACGAAAACCTTTCATGACATTAACCGTTTATGTATATAGATTGTACTGCAATGTAGTTAGTTGTTGTCAGGGCGTGAGTATGGTTTTACGCCGCTTTTAGCAATATTTCCTGAATATCACGGCGGGGGACACCAGAAATGGGCTTCACACATTGTACCCATGTGGGAAATCGAACCCGAGTCTTCGGCGTGACGAGCGAACGCTTTAACCACTAGGCTACCCGACCGCCCCTGTTGACAAGGAATGCCAATTACGTGGATCGATTTTTATAATGACAATCACTGGATTGTCAGGTTCAGACTCATTATTTACAAGACATCGTGTTATATCTGGAATATTGCTAAATGCGGCGTTAAACAACACAAAAACATATAAATACAACCACGAGTATTAAGCCCGATACACTGCAGGGTTGAAAAATCTACAGAACACAGTCACCCCAAACAATCCCGTGAAAATTACGAGTAAGAATTAATCTTCATGCGACTCGTGCTTGTATTAAGAGGCGACTAACAGGACCGGGTGGTCCGCCTCTCTGACTTGGTTGATGCATCTCATCGTATCCCAATTGGGTGGATCGATGCTCATGATGTCAGTAATAGGATTGTTTGGTCCAGACTCGATTATTTACAGACCGCCGTCATATAGCTGAGTGCGGCGTTAAACAACAAACAAGACAACAAACATCATCAAAACATCCTCTGTCAGTGTGACGGCTTGGTACTTCAAACTTTCCTGTACTACCTGCTGACGTTGACTTATACAATGGTGATGATTCTTTTTATTTGAGAATGATATACTTTTCATATTAAGACTCATGCAATTCAGTTCTTTTTGTTTTTCGTTTCTTATTGAATGCTGTACTGAGCAATATTCCAGCTATATGACGGCGGTCTGTAAATATTCGAGTCTGGACCAGACAATCCAGTGATTGATATCATGAGCACTGATCGAGACAATTGGTAAACGATGGCATGCCATCAAAGTCAGCGAGCCTGACCACCCGATCCCGCTAGTCGCCTCTAACCACAAGCATGGTCGCCTGTTGTTCTCTGAATTCGAACCAGTCGTACAGATGAACAGGTTACAATTCTACTTTCTGTCTTGAGGGACACAGGTTGTCGTCCCATGGCGTGACAAACCTGTGGTCGTGGGTTCGAATCCCGGTTCCCATTATAATGTTTCTAGGTTTGTCGGTACCACACCCGTGATCGTGGGTTTATCAAAAGTGGTAAACGTCTGAGACCTGCTTGGGTCACTACGGGGTTCCTTCCACATCAAACTTATACACCGTGATAAAACTGCAATACTGTTCAAAGCGGCGGTAAACCCAACTCACTCACTCACTCTAACCGGTGCCTCTGTGTTTCAGTGTGGATACGTGTTGACCGCGGTGTTTCATACAACACTTCCTGCATCAGTGCGCGACCGGTGCGTCGACCCCCCTGACCTATCTGCCAGATTGTCCGCCAGTAACTCTCAACTCCCACCCAGCCTAGAAACCCCAGACCCCAGACCGCGGCTCAACGAACCCCTATCCACAGACTGTCCGTCACACGTCCCCACGACCGGCCCCATCAGCGACCGGAGCAACTGCCCCTGGTATTATGCGCCTCAAACAGACAGTTCCAGGTTCCCCAATATGATTCTACGGGCGGAGCTAAAATGTGGATATTTCTGTCGACGGCCGAAACGAAACGGCCGCCTGGTTGAGATGACGGCTGGAAGATGTCTGCCTATATTCGACACAGTGAGAGTGTTGAGACACGAAGGGTGCAGCTCCGGCATCAAGCGGTACAATCTGACTGAGGAGCAGGTGCCCGTGGCCTACACGTGCGTCTTCCCCCTCGTCAGGGAGAGTGGATCGTTACAGAGTATCTATGGCTTCGCGGAGTAGTGTACTCTTTGTTATTGTCTGCATAATGCAACATTTGAATATTTATATCGTTATTGTTGTTTTTCTTGAACACAATGTTTGTTTTTTTATAATACCTTTTGTGTGTTGTAATGTTTTTACCAAAGATTATTTTTTCAATAAAACAACTTTTTACAACAGTGTGATTTCGCTAACCTTCTGGTGTTCTGACATCTTCTCGAGGCAAGGGAGTTAACTGACCGTAAAATTCCAGTTTCCACCCTTTCCGAACTAGCCCGGACTTTAGTGGCTCGGTCGTGGCGACACCAGTAGTATTTACGAGTTATGTACCTCCTATTGTCCAATCAGATTCCACCTCTCATATCACATGGATTTGCTTTAAACAAAATGGTGGCGCTCAGTCAAGACGACCTTATCGATAGTCAAAATATTTATCGTTATAAAACGGGTGTTACAATCAGATCACTTGAGAACGTTCATCACACCAAAAGATTTGGAAAATATGTCGACGCCCAGTTGACGGTACACATGCTCTGCAAATCCTGCAATCGACCGAAATCTCCGCGGCAGTCGCCATGGCCTTTATAAACCGGATGTCGATTTTGATTGGGCTATGCGTAGACTCGTTAGTCCATCCAAAATATAACTCCATAATTCCAGCCCGGTGCGGCAAGAGTGGAAACAAGACTTTTACAGTCAGTTAACTCCCTTGCGAAGGGAAGATGGCGCTCTGGTGGAAAACTCAGCTTGATCCCGGCATGTTCCCCTCACGAGAGTAGCACGTCTAACTCTAAGTCCAAACATATACTGTTCAAATTCACCTTTAGTGTTAAATACATATACTGTAAGGGCGGTGTGGTAGCCTAGTGGTTAAAGCGTTAGCTCGTCACGACGACGGCCCGGGTTCGAGCTGTGTATTGTGGGTACAATGTGTGAATCCCATTTCTGGTGACCTCCGCTGGAATATTGCTTAAGGTGGTGTTAAACTCACTCACTCATATACCGTAGACACCCTCCGTGGTCTAGTGGCCAAATCGAGCACCCGGAGAGCGGAAGGTCCGGGGTTTCATTCCCGGCCGCGTCATACCAAAAGACGTTACTTCTTGTTACGGGATCACGTACAAAATGACTTTTAACCGTGAATATAAGATGCACCTGCAACACGACGTCACATGGACGGTTTGGGTATAGAGGCAGTGTAATGGTCACCCGTGGCACCCAGATCAGCGTAAAGACACAACGACCATGCCAAGGCTATGGACAGACAAGAGGGAAAGGGCAAAGGTGAGATTTGTTTGTTTGTTTGTTGTTTACCGCCGCAATATTCAAGTTAATCTCTACGACACACTTCGCCTTTCAAACATGCGTCGAATATTTGTGATTTTTGTCGCCCGTTGATGTTGGTTGGTTGGTGAACGCCGCACTCCAGCTATATGCCGGCGGTCTGTAAATAATCGAGTCTGGACCAGACATCCTTGTGATTGACATCATGAGCATCCATCCACGCAATTGTAATACGATGACACGCATCAACCAAGTCAGCGAGCCTGACCACCCGATCCCGTGAGTAGCCTCTTACGACAAGCAAAATCGCCTATTACGGCAAGCATGGGTTGCTGAAGACCTATTCTTCCCCGGATCTTCCCGGGGTCTCATGATAGTGACAAGATGTGTGATCATCATGCAACCATGACGGACCTTTTATGGTTTATTAAATGCATTTTTGAACGCTCGATACCGGACAGCTTACCCCACCTTCATGAGTGCCCCACATACGCTTCATTTTAACAACTTGCCATTGGGTACTTTTTTAATGCTCGTCCAAAATGACGTATTTGGCATATACAACCATCATTTCTCAGCGGTCTTGTCATATCGTGCTACGTATGGTTTCTTTGGCCCGCGAGTGTATATATTTGTTCCAACCTTCGCATGACACATAATCGTTGCCCTTGCCAGAGTCGGTTGCTATTTTAGAGTGAGTGAGTATGGTTTTACGCCGCTTTTAGCAATATTCCAGCAATATCACGGCGGGGGACACCTGAAATGGGCACACATTGTACCCATGTCGGGAATCGAACCCGGGTCTTCGGCGTGACGAGCGAACGCTTTAACCACTCGGCTACCCGACCACCCCTGCTATTTTAGAAAATAGTGGCAAACATGCCTGGGCATCTGATGTCATAACATTGGTACTTTATTTTGGTTTCTGTTTGGTTTGCCCAAGATGTTGGGTTTAAGTCGTCATTTGTTTCTCGTTGATATTTTCATTTCAGGTTGGTCAAAAAGTATCAGATTTTCTCATTTACTTGCACATTATGCATATTTCAATCTATGGACTATTCTCAAGTAAAATGTAATTCATATTCCATGATCAATACGAAACACTCTTGATATCCGTCAGCTGTGTATCAATCATGAAAATCCCACCGTGGACGAGACTACCTCGACTTGCATAATACAATTCAACAAATTGTGTTCATCTGATGTGATAATACAAGTAAGGGTGGGGTGGGGTGGGGTGGGGGTTTCAAGCTGCTTTGAAAAGTATTGCAGTGATAATTTCCACTCTAATTGTGTGTTCGGTTGTGAGATCCCAAAAACAGTGAGTGAGTGAGTGAGTTTGGTTTAACGCCGCTTTTAACAGTATTCCAGTTATATCGCGGCGTGTCAGCTTAATGCGGGAGGAAAGCCCGAAGTGATGCAGGTCTCAGACGTTTACCACTTCGGTGAAACCCACGAGCATGGGTATGGTGCTGACAAACCTAGAAACATAAGATCCCCAAAAGATGACGTGCAGAAAAACAACAATATGCAACTAGTGTTTTTCAAAATGTTTATTGGTCATAATGTGTACATCTACAACCACCCACAAATTGAAGTAGTCTACAACAGCATTAACATGTGGTTAAACCTAACAACATCACAGGTTATCAGGCGACAAACCTCTTGTAACAAGCAAGCCGTGCTGGGAGAAGATACAAAGGCTACCCGAGTCCCGACAGGACGTTCCATGTGATGGGGTGGTGGTTGATGGGTGTCAAATTGGCACTGACCTAGTGATTGTGAGGGTGCATGTCTGCATTTCCTCTGAAGGGGGATCGATGCTTCTCACATACTGCAAGAACATACTATGGCAATTAGAACGACAAATTTCAAGATACAGGCCAAACAGTTTATCTTATTCGAGACTAAATCTTTCAGGAAACTGATTTGCATGCACTTCTAATTAAAATATTTTTTCAAGAACCAAGGACCCCTTTGTCATGTCAATGGACATCCCAGGTGATGTCATCGGTATACTGTCACAATGTGCCTCACCCTACATCATTATTCCATAGTGTTTCCCTCGCCACTTCTAACACATGGTCCCATCAACCTGACCTTCACCCTGCCACAGTGCGCCCTCCGAGCATCCGCCGATCACGTCAGTTAGTTGGGGCCGCCCTACTAATGTTTAACAGCATAACAAGCAATAACTAGTACTGTCACATGCAGTGAGATCTGTAACACTTTAAACAAAGAAACAATACATGTGTGTAACGTGACTAAGAAGCAAGCAGGTCTGTGTATCACTGGGTACATCTACTGGAGGAGGTCCACGCCTGTGTCTACTCCAAGCCAGGAACAAGAGTGGGACCACTAAATGTTTGGCATCAGGTACATCTACCTGGGACACTGTGCAGGTTATCATGGAAGCGTCCTGTTATCATAGATGACAAGTGACGGAACAATGGTTGACACACTCATGCTAGACGGTTGATGAGAAGCTATGGTATTTATGCAATTTCTTGTGAAGCTGAGATCTAGATGTTTTTGTGAGGGAACTCGCTAGTTCCTGTCGTGACGAGCTTCTAAAACATGTGCTCGGGATGACTGGTGAAGTCTTTGGCTTATTTCTCTGGTACTTGACGGACATGGAAGTTAAATAGCTTCTGATAATGAACTCGCAGGATGAGAAATGTCATATGGTTAATTTCCTCGGACCATTACCCGAAGACTACAGGATTCTGATAAATAATTCTACTAACAAAAACATATAGTAGAGATTTGTGCAACATAAATAACAAAGCTTCCTGGCTCCTGATATAACTGTGGTGTAACTATAGCAACAACGCCCTTAAAACTGGCACATCCTTAAAAATTAAAACTATGACATTTGTCAACAAACTAATATCAAATACGACTATCAAAGATAGCATCATAAACCTTAGAAATAAGATCAAGTCTTTCTTCCAATTCAAATAGTGTACTGATTGCCTCTGAGCTTTCTGTAAAAGCTGTCTCTACCACCAAAGATTGGACATCAATTCAAATGCACCAACTCACTAAATGTTTCAAGGTCAACCGGTTTATTGCATTATTGACAAGCACGGAATAGAACCTGATGAACTGCTGCTTGAAGAGACTTGTTATGATTAACCTAACGCCAGAGCTGACCCTGCCAACATTCAGGGGAGAAATATCCATAGTTACTGCTTCTCATTTTCATACTTATAACATCATCATCCATCATTGGTTTGCAAACAAACACAAGTCTATCATGATCATGTAAATCTCATTTTCTGCCTTTTCCACCTGAGATCATTCATGAGGCATGAAGCATTTACAGGCAGGATGGGGGTATGAAAGCTACCAATGGCATTTGAGATGCTCCCAGAACATTAGGTGCCCTCTGGAGCATCCAGGACAACAGGTGCCCCCTGGAGCATCCAGGACAACAGGTGCCCCCTGGAGCATCTAGAACAGGTGCCACCCTGGAGCATCCCGAACAATAGGTGCCCCCAAAATCCAGGACAAGTGCCCCCTGGAGCATTCAGGACAACAGGTGCCCCCTGGTGCATCCTGGACAACAGGTGCCCCCTGGAGCATCCAGGATAGCAGGTGCCCCCTGACGCATCCAAAACCACAGGTGGCCCCTGGAGCATCCAGTGAGTGAGTGAGTGAGTTGGGTTTAACGCTGCTCTTTACAGTATTCCAGTTATATCATGGCGTGTCAGTTTTAATGTGGGAGGAAGCCCGAAGTGATGCAAGTCTCAGACGTTTACCACGTTTCAGTGAAACCCACGAGCACTGGTATGGTGCTGACAAACCAGTTTAACCTAGAAACATAATCGGGCCAAATCAGGGTTCAAACCCACGATCATAGATTTCTGGCATGCCAAAGGAACGTAACTCTGCACAGAATTTGGGCCCCTTAGACACCTGGGCCACCCGTGCCCCCTGGAGCATCCAGAACAATAGGTGGCCCCCTGGAGCATCCAGAACAATAGGTTGCCCCCTGGAGCATGTAGGACAGTGGGTGCCCCCTGGAGCATGTAGGGCAGTGGGTGCCCCCTGGAGCATGTAGGACAGTGGGTGGCCCCTGGAGCAGGTAGGACAACAGGTGCCCTCTGGAGCATGTAGGACAACACATGCCCCCTGGAGCTTCATTTGATGTGATGTGATGCACAAAGCAGGTAACATGATGCAAATTAGAACGTCCCCGAGATAACTGGATTTCAGTGTATCAATCCTTTCACAAATCAAAATGGTCCAGCCATTATAAAAAATTAATAGGCATGACATGTACTTCAGCTCCTAGCTCAATGCTTGTAGACAGACTGTGTAGGTGGACTGGCACCTCGTAGTTGGTTTCTCTCCTGGGTATCACAAGTAATATTAAAGGGCCCCCAACTGAGACCAATCAACAGCCGAAGTGTTCAGATTCGGGGATATCAGATATTTTCAGTGTCTGTAAATTATCTATAGATACCCTGTTGAATATTTTACATACTGAGAATGGTATATAATCCTCAAATCACTGAATGTCATGATCAGGTTTGAACACATGGTTGATTATACGGGTTTGCTAATCATTGATGTAGACATGATGTAAAAAACAACTAAAAAACGTTTCCGCTGAATGTTCTTGACATGAAATATATGATAATAGATTAAATGTGATTAAAATCATCCAGTAAGATATTATTCACCAAAAAGTCGGCATGGTGTGCAAAAGTAAAACATTGCGTGTAAAACTGCAGCAAAGTTCACAATATTGAGCAAATAAACCACTGAATGAGAGCATTGCAATAATTCTTAGTTACCATAGTAACCTGTCCACCCAACTCTGCACCTGTAATGTTTACACTCACAGGGTACTGTGAAATACATCCTAATGTACACACTTAAAAGTATTACACAAATGTGCAATGAATGATTGACTAGATTGAATATTACAAATATCAAGGAATAAATAGGATTTACCATATGGAGAAAAATGACAGACAAATATATAATACTTCAATATCGACTATAGACAACTTTCTACATCAGCAGCCCTATGAAAACACGAAGGTGTGTCCCTAAAAATAGAAACGAATGCGCTTTTTCAAATTGGCACACCAATATACCCAAGAGTTGAAATATACCTTGAGATCGTACAAAGCAACTTGATGTTCTATCTTTACGGACAAATCTCAGTTTCCCACTGATAGGCCTGTACACTTGACTCTCCATCCCCCAGACTCCTGACCATGGTGGGGACTAGTTCAACTGTCCTTCCATCTTCCCACTGTCAGTGTAGCACTCTCTTCAAACAAGTAATCATGTTCAAAACATAAAACAGAATCTGTTGGGTCGGTCATATTAAGATATATACTACGATTAGCAATACTAAGTTGAAATCTAATGTAAAGTTAGCATTACATTGTCTCAAACTTGTATCTATAATATACAATATATAAGATACATATGTATATGTAATTCATTGGTCTTGTGTATGCAACTTTTTACTAATGTGTATTTAAATATCTCGAGCCTGCGAGTCAGTCCCATAAATGTACATACTATAAAATTTCTTCAAGTTTAACACTACTCAGCTTAACCATAATCTCAGAATTATGCTCCACTGTTTCAAATGGCATAGCTTATATGTATGTTAAAGAAATTTAACAATGAAATGACAGATCGTACACATCTAACTTACACAAGTAAACATGACCTATTCTTAAACATGACCTATCTCTATGTCAGTATGCTGCTACCACAGCTGTGTGTGTGCCCTGGTCTTCTTGTAGCAAGTCAGCGGAACATGGTTGTTTTCTATTTCCTTCATGGGAGTTTGGAATTAATTGATTTCTTGTGTGAAGAAATCTCGTCAGCAGGTTTCATTATTTTTATTTCCTCTGTCTTCCAGGCAATCCACTCACCCCACGACTGTCTGTAGACTCATCTTGCGGTACTGTGGTACAAACAACACAAAATGGTACAACACAAGGGAGGTAACTCCTGTACATAGTATTACATGGTACAGCTGTATCAAGAGTCAAGAATTTCACTTCAACAAATGCAGTGTTTCCAATGTGGATGATAGCAGTTGCGTACAACAGTCTTCACAGCAATTGTTCAGATTTTTAATATATCTGCACCATTTTAGATCCCATGGAACACTTGAGATTGTAGAAGATCAGGCATGGGCAAGTCCAGGGGCCAATTCCACAGAATATATTTACTCCTTTATTTGAACAGTCAAGGACAAACTGACACAATGTACGTGAGAGGGACCCCCTTATCCTCACCGACACAATGTATGTGGGAGGGACCCCCTTATCCTCACCGACACAATACAGGTACAATAGTTCATACCATATTCATATCATCAATGATGTGTCAGTAGTTTTCTTATCCCATCATCAACAATACACAATGTTCTTCATGGTGACACAATGCTCATATTGTCTGGCACAATGCACTATTGTTTTGTCACACAATGCTCTATTGTCAGTGACACAATGCGCTATTGTCTGTGACACAATACTCTTATTGTTGGACACAGAGTCCTCTGTGGTAGATTCTGGCAGCTAAACGAGGAGTATTCCTGAGAGGAAAATGGGCCACCCAGCTCTGTTCCGTCCCCCAAACCAACAAGACCATGTTTTCCTGCGAGGCAAGATATGAACCCTGACTCCTGGGTTTCGAGGACGTATCAGTTCTTGGTGAGCCAGAATCTGTTGAATGTCATGTAGTTGAAACGTGGTTGTGTAGCTTTGGATTTGAGATTTCAAACAGAGATTCTCTGAAGCATGAACAGCGACGATGATCCAACATATTCATAAATATAAATACAAAAAGGTTCATGTTACACAGCATCAGCCCTCACAGAATGTTGTGATGAGAATACATCAAATATGCGTCATCCACGACCAATACCTTCAGCACATTGGACAGGATGATGAGATGGTGTATATTATGTCAAGTCCGATGTGGAATAACAGCTGGGACATTATCAATGCTTATAGGCATACATAACAATAATATGTATTATCCGATGGGTAACTATGAAATACAAGGTCAACAATGATAATACATGGATGTAGACCATTTTGATTTAAAGTAGGCATTTTTCTTCCCCCTAAACAATAAGTTGTTTCTGAATTAATAAAACACCCATTTTGATTTCCTTAAATTTTAAATTCAGTATACATAATAAACCATATTCAAAACTAAGTGGCTAGATCAGTGCAGAATTACAATGTAATATTGCCCTGAACTGACAGTTATTCCTGGGACACCTGAATGTTTGTTTGCAGACACTGAAGCTTACATTCCTCACATACACAAGCGCTGCTGGTAATAGGGTTGGATAGTCAAGTCATAGTCACCGTCCTTGTCTTGCTCACAAAGAGCAGCCCTGGGATGCCTACAATTCACATTATCATGCAGTTCATATATTTGAGCTCATATCCAAGTTGACTCTTTTACACTCATATTTTTAGTAATGAAAATACACCTGATGTAATGTTGCTGAATATGAAACTGTAATCTAAATCTTGACACGAGTCACAGACAAGTGTCATAACAAATACATCCACTACTGAATGGTATCTAGCTCCATAATCATGATAATATTACTATAGACACGAGATCCCAATAAATGATGACAAACTTCACATCAACTAATGACACTGATGACAAGTTCAAAGGTCTTTCCACACTACTGATGATGTAAACCACGAAGTAGGGAAATACATCCTGTACCTCCCTACTGAAGACATCTGGCTGACCACAGATTGCTGACCATCCACTTTCTGGCTGTCTACTGATGAAATACTTCCCCATGTGTAACCATGGTAACACAAACGCCACTGGCTGCCTACTGATGAAGTACTTCCCCCGGCTGTAACACAAACACCACTTCATCATCCAGCCACACCATGGACCTGGAGTCCACACAGCGATGATGTCATGACTTCTTCCCAGCGAAGAAGGAGCTAGCAGAAGTGGATTTCTTCATATGTTCTTCCTCTAGCTCATCATCATCCTCTTCGGCCTCCGCTTCCTTCTCGTTCTGCGACTGTTCCACTGTCTCCTTCTTCTGGTAGTGGAGGAGATGCTCCATGTCCGTCTGCAACATCAACACCATGTAGTCAACACCATTGGATCATCTTAACATCAACACCATTCAGTCAACACCATGGGATCATCTTAACATCAACACCATTCAGTCAGCACCATGGAATCATCTTAACATCAACACCATTCAGTCAACACCATGGGATCATCTTAACATCAACACCATTCAGTCAACACCATGGGATCATCTTAACATCAACACCATTCAGTCAGCACCATGGGATCATCCTAACATCAACACTATTCAGTCAACACCATGGGATCATCTTAACATCAAGACCATTCAGTCAGCACCATGGGATCATCTTAACATCAACACCATTCAGTCAACACCATGGGATCATCTTAACATCAACACCATTCAGTCAACACCATGGGATAGTCTCAACATCAACGCCATTTCCTAGTCATCATAGATCTATCTTAACATCAACACCATTTATTTTATTTTTAACATCATGGGATTATCTCACAGTGATGTATCCAGGATTCTAAACTATGTGACCCTGGCAAATTGGAAAAAATAAATTCATTTCTTATTTTCTTAAATTTATAGGTATTTAAACATGTTCTGATTGTATCCTTATGCAATAACATAAAACTAAGCACTGAAACCTTCCCATTTATTGGTCCTGTTCTCATTGAAGAACAGGTTATCTCTACAAAGCCTCAGCTATTACTTACATATATATAAACATTAAATGGGAATTTTTATATTTTTCCGATTTTCGAATTTTTACTGACGTGCTTCAGACATGTGGCCGAATATCGACTCTGAGCAGGTCTTGATACATCCCTGTCTCAACATTAACACCATCTCCTAGTCACCATAGGTCAATCTCAACATCATCACCATTGCCTAGTCACGATAGGTCAATCTTAACCTCATCTCCTTATCACCAAGGGCCTATTCCAACATCAAAAGCATCTAAAAGACACCATGAGTCTATCTGAACATTGATGCCAAGTCCCCAGAGTCCATGGTAACATCAACACCACTGCACAAGTCCCCAGAGTCTATGGTAACATCAACACCACTGCCAAGTCCCCAGAGTCCATGGTAACATCAACACCACTGCCAAGTCCCCAGAGTCTATGGTAACATCAACACCACTGCCAAGTCCCAAGAGTCTATGGTAACATCAACACCACTGCCTAGTCCCCAGAGTCTATGGTAACATCAACGCCACTGCCAAGTCCCCAGAGTCTATGGTAACATCAACACAACTGCCAAGTCCCCAGAGTCCATGGTAACATCAACACCACTGCCAAGTCCCCAGAGTCCATGGTAACATCAACACCACTGCCTAGTCCCCAGAGTCCATGGTAACATCAACACTACTGCCAAGTCCCCAGAGTCCATGGTAACATCAACACCACTGCCAAGTCCCCAGAGTCCATGGTAACATCAACACCACTGCCAAGTCCCCAGAGTCCATGGTAACATCAACACCACTGCCAAGTCCCCTAGTCCTATCTCAACAAGACATTCAGGATAACATCACTTGTCCCAGGCTCTCACAGGGACAAGTCACAGGTGCTGTCAGTCCAAGGATGATAATCAGGGAAACCTATGATTCCAACTAGAGAGCAGGAGATCCTGGCGTGACAAAGGCACACAACTCTGTGCATGTGGGATCACTGATATAATATCCTGGTTATAGTACTATGCTCTAAATACTCATATCATTTGTATGCCTGTTAAGATCTACAGTACCCCATGCTTGTTGTAAGAAGCTTCTAACAGGACTGGATGGTAAGGTTTGCTGACTTGGTTGATGCATGTTATCGTATCCCAATTGTGTGGATCGATGCACATGATATCAATTACTGGATTCTCTTGTCCAGACTCAATTATTTACAGACCTCTGTCATATAGCTGGAATATTGCTGAGTGCAGCTTTACACAACAAACAAAACAAAATGTTAGTCCAGTCTAGTGGTAGTGAGGATTGGTTTAAACAATCATTCATTACAGTTAATAACATGAGATATACCATGTCATGTCAGTTGTTTAATGCCCCAGTCAATATCTAACAATATTCCAGTGATATGACAGTAGCCTGTAACTAATCAAATCTGGACCAGGCAATCCAGTGATAGATATTATGAGCAATGTCATGGTGTTGGTGTACAATGACACTCAATCAACAAAGTCAGCATGCCTGCTCATCAAATTCAGAAAAATCGCCTCTTACAACCGCCTTTGGGGACCAGTTCTAACCCGGACTCCGGACTGGGCCAAATACCATGTATTCCAAAAAGCAAGACAACAATGTTTTATAACACTTCCTCTGAAATCAAGTTGAACACGAAATCATAAGTCAATCATTATGAAGACGTTTATTAGGTGAAGACCATAAAAAAGCATAATATGAAATAAAAAAAATTCAAAAGAGAAAACAATTTAGTATTAGGGAAATCATGAAAAATATTCATATAAAATCAAGTGATATTACAAACAGAAAATATTTTCAAATTAAGAAAAAGGAAATCAAATCATAAGACATATATAATAAAGAGAAAATGTTTTATATTTTCAATCAACTTTTCAATATATGTGTTTATATATCGGGACAACTACAAACATTTTCAGTGAAACATAATCAACTCAGTTACAGTTATCCAATCGTGTGAATCAAACGTGTTCAACTTAAAGCACAACCCACAACCAAACCCCGCCCTGGTGGACCCTGTCAGGAACACAGCTCAGACAGCAGTCAAGGAAAGATGGACCTGTTGTCACAAAGTGATCTCTGTTTAGAAATGGGCAAAACACCCCTACTCTAACATAGACAAAGATAGGCACTTGTAGGAATATTCCAGCACTGTCACGACGGGGGACACCTGACACCTTTGTTTGTTTAACGCCGCACTCAGCAATATTCCAGCGATATGATGGCGGTTTCTAAATAATCCAGTCTGCACCAGACAATCCAGTGATTGACATCATGGACATCAATCCACGCAATTGGGATACATGCATCAACCAAATCAGCGAGACTGACCACCCAATCCCGTCAGTCGCCTCTAACGACAAGCGTAGTCGCCTTAAACAGCAAGCATGGGTTGCTGAAGACCTAATCTAACCTGGATCTTCACGAGTCACCTGACATAGGAATATGCTGGCCTTATCATCACAGGGGACACAGGAATATTCCAGCACTATCACCACAGGGGACACCTGACATAAGAATATTCCAGCACTATCACCACAGGGACATCTGACATAGGAATATTCCAGCACTATCACCACGGAGACACCTGACATAGGAATATTCCAGCACAATGACCACGGGGACACCCGACATAGGAATATTCCAGCACAATTACCATGGGGACATCTGACATAGGAATATTCCAGCACTATCACCACGGGGGACACCTGACATAGGAATATTCCAGCACAATTACCACGGGGACACCTGACATAGGAATATTCCAGCACAATGACCACAGGGACACCTGACATAGGAATATTCCAGCACTATCACCACAGGGACACCTGACATAGGAATATTCCAGCACTATCACCAGGGGACATCTGACATAGGAATATTCCAGCACAATGACCACGGGGACACCCGACATAGGAATATTCCAGCACAATTACCATGGGGACACCTGACATAGGAATATTCCAGCACAATTACCACAGGGACATCTGACATTAGAATATTCCAGCACAATTACCATGGGGACACCTGACATAGGAATATTCCGGCACTATCACCACGGGGGACACCAGAAATAGGATTCACACACTGTACCAGTGTGAGGAATCGAACCCAGGGGTTTGGCATGACAAGCAAATGCTTTAACCTGTGACTAGGCTACCACAGACTGATGGCACGAAGATCACTTTGTGAAACAAAGCCCAGATGTGTTAGCTGTAAAGACAGGATGTGATGTCCAAGATGGTGTGGAGGGGAAAGACAGGATGTGATGTCCAAGATGGTGTGGATGGGAAAGACAGGATGTGATGTCCAAGATGGTGTGGATGGGAAAGACAGGATGTGATGTCCAAGATGGTGTGGTTTGGGAAAGACAGGATGTGATGTCCAAGATGGTGTGGATGGGAAAGACAGGATGTGATGTCCAAGATGGTGTGGATGGGAAAGACAGGATGTGATGTCCAAGATGGTGTGGATGGGAAAGACAGGGTGTGATGTCCAAGATGGTGTGGATGGGAAAGACAGGATGTGATGTCCAAGATGGTGTGGATGGGAAAGACAGGGTGTGATGTCCAAGATGGTGTGGATGGGAAAGACAGGATGTGATGTCCAAGATGGTGTGGATGGGAAAGACATGATGTGATGTCCAAGATGGTGTGGAGGGGAAAGACAGGATGTGATGTCCAAGATGGTGTGGATGGGAAAGACAGGATGTGATGTCCAAGGTGGTGTGGAGGGGAAAGACAGGATGTGATGTCCAAGATGGTGTGGATGGGAAAGACGGGGTGTGATGTCCCAGATGGTGTGGAGGGGAAAGACAGGATGTGATGTCCAAGATGGTGTAGAGGGGAAAGACAGGATGTGATGTCCAAGATGGTGTAGAGGGGAAAGACAGGGTGTGATGTCCAAGATGGTGTGGATGGGAAAGACAGGATGTGATGTCCAAGATGGTGTGGTTTGGGAAAGACAGGATGTGATGTCCAAGATGGTGTGGATTGGAAAGACAGGATGTGATGTCCAAGATGGTGTGGTTTGGGAAAGACAGGATGTGATGTCCAAGATGGTGTGGATGGGAAAGACAGGGTGTGATGTCCAAGATGGTGTGGATGGGAAAGACAGGATGTGATGTCCAAGATGGTGTGGATGGGAAAGACAGGATGTGATGTCCAAGATTGTGGGGGTCAGGATGTGATGTCCAAGATGGTGCGGATGAGGATGTGGATGAGGGCAGGAATAGGAAAGACAGGATGTGATGTTCGAGATTGGAGTTGGGTGGGTCAGGATGTGATGTCCAAGATGTTGTCGACGAGGCTGGGGATGGGATAGATGCACATGCAATCACAGCAACCAAACATGTTCTCTCAACAGTGATTATCTAAGGATGTTAACAAGAATAGAAGTAAGTGAATTCATATTCCAAAGAATCCCGCAATATGAGAGAATAGATTTCTACTTACTGAGGTAGAAGTCGTCCACATGATCTATTCATGACATATTAGAAAGCATGTGTTAAACAGTTAACATTAGATTACTGCATGTAACTGGTTAGTCTGAAAGGCAGCAAGGAAGGAAGTGTAAGAGGTTGCCATACAAACACAATGTCACAGTGACCGCCCACAATGCGTTAATCCTGTTATTTGTTAATCTGGATGATTTCACAGGATTACCGCCTAAATAAACAGGGTTCTCAAAACATGAAAGAGAAAGATTGCATCTTACTAAAGACAATTTTGAAAATCACAACACTTTTCTAAATGTAATTAACTTAGTCAAATTGGATGAAATTTCAACCAGTTTTTTTACCAGTGTTTCAAATGCCAAAATGGAGAACTCCATGCTCCCAGAGAGCTAGTTGATAGCCAGTACTACAACTAGATCACTCCTGTGGCAGTGTTTGTATGGCTGTAGGAAGCGTTAGTATGTGCGCACCTGCCACTGATCAAGCTCCTGTGAGAGAGTCACCTTCTGCTTGATGGCGCCCACCAGCTGCTGGTTGAGAGTCATTAGATCCATTTTGGACTTGGCAAGTTCCACCTCCAGCTGATGTCCTCTACAACAGTAACACAGGAGTGAGTGAGTGAGTGAGTGAGTGAGTGAGTGAGTGAGTGAGTGAGTGAGTGAGTGAGTGAGTGAGTGAGTGAGTGAGTGAGTGAGTGAGTGAGTGAGTGAGTGATACATATTCGCCCTTGAAAACATCACAGGGACATAAGCATGGGACACTGGGGGCATATTCTGCCTTGGAATCCCCACAGGGAGACAACAAGGGGCATATTCTGCCTTGGAATCCCCACAGGGAGACAACTAGGAGCACTGGGAACATATTCTGTCTTGGAATCCTCACAGGGAGACAACAAGGGACACTCGCGGCATATTCTGCCTTGGAATCCCCACAGGGAGACAACAAGGGACACTCGCGGCATATTCTGCCTTGGAATCCCCACAGGGAGACAACAAAGGACACTCGCGGCATATTCTGCCTTGGAATCCCCACAGGGAGACAACAAAGGACACTCGCGGCATATTCTGCCTTGGAATCCCCACAGGGAGACAACAAGGGACACTCGCGGCATATTCTGCCTTGGAATCCCCACAGGGAGACAACAAAGGACACTTGCGGCATATTCTGCCTTGGAATCCCCACAGGGAGACAACTAGGGACACTGGGGGCATATTCTGTCTTGGAATCCTCACAGGGAGACAACTAGGGGCACTAGGGGGCATATTCTGCCTTGGAATCCACACAGGGAGACAACTAGGGACATTCGCGGCATATTCTGCCTTGGAAACCACACAGGGAGACAACTAGGGACACTGGGGGCATATTCTGCCTTGGAATCCACACAGGGAGACAACTAGGGACATTCGCGGCATATTCTGCCTTGGAAACCACACAGGGAGACAACTAGGGGCACTGGGGGCATATTCTGCCTTGGAATCCACACAGGGAGACAACTAGGGACACTCGGGGCATATTCTGCCTTGGAATCCACACAGGGAGACAACTAGGGACATTCGCGGCATATTCTGCATTGGAAACCACACAGGGAGACAACTAGGGGCACTGGGGGCATATTCTGCCTTGGAATCCACACAGGGAGACAACTAGGGACATTCGCGGCATATTCTGTCTTGGAATCCCCACAGGGAGACAACTAGGGGCACTGGGGGCATATTCTGCCTTGGAAACCACACAGGGAGACAACTAGGGACACTGGGGGCATATTCTGTCTTGGAATCCACACAGGGAGACAACTAGGGACACTGGGGGCATATTCTGCCTTGGAATCCACACAGGGAGACAACTAGGGACACTGGGGGCATATTCTGCCTTGGAATCCACACAGGGTGACAACTAGGGACACTGGGGGCATATTCTGTCTTGGAATCCACACAGGGAGACAACTAGGGACACTGGGGGCATATTCTGCCTTGGAAACCCCACAGGGAGACAACTAGGGGCACTGAGGGCATATTCTGTCTTGGAATCCACACAGGGAGACAACTAGGGACACTGGGGGCATATTCTGCCTTGGAATCCACACAGGGTGACAACTAGGGACACTGGGGGCATATTCTGCCTTGGAATCCACACAGGGTGACAACTAGGGGCACTGGGGGCATATTCTGCCTTGGAATCCCCACAAGGAGAAAACAAGGGACACTGGCGGCATATTCTGCCTTGGAATCCCCACAGGGATACAACTAGGGACACTGGCGGCATATTCTGCCTTGGAATCCTCACAGGGAGACAACTGGGGGCACTGGGGGGGGGCATATTCTGCCTTGGAATTCTCACAGGGAGACAACTAGGGGCACTGGGAGCATGTTCTGTTTTGGAATCCCCACAAGGACAAGCATGCATTACTGGGGACATACATCAGAAGTTTAGCAATGAAACATTTACAGAACAACAAAAGAGTGATAGACACTGTAGCCCCATGTGAGGAAGTGGGTGCCCCTACTTCTCCATGGCGAGGTCTCGGTCCTTCCTGGTCTGTTGCAGGATGTTGTCCTTGGAGATGTCGCCCATCATGGAGTCCTGCAGCTGGTCCCGCTCACGCTGCAGCTGTACCAGGCGGTCCTGCTGCTCCTGCAGCTGTAAAGCAGTACAACTACAGTTAGTTGCCATGACAACACATCCGTAACCAGTGACAATAATGGGCATGAATCATGATTCTGCTGTTCCTGCAGGTGCAACCCAATAAATATGCTCATAGTTAGTTGCCATGACAACATGTACGTAACATAATAACAATCATGATACTGCTGTTCCTGCAGGAGCAAGCCAATAAATATGCTTATAGTTAGTTGCCATGACAACATCTACGTAACATAATAACAATCATGATACTGCTGCTCCTGCAGGAGCAAGCCAATAAATATGCTCATAGTTAGTTGCCATGACAACATGTATGTAACATAATAACAATCATGATACTGCTGTTCCTGCAGGTGCAACCCAATAAATATGCTTATAGTTAGTTGCCATGACAACATGTATGTAACATAATAACAATCATGATACTGCTGTTCCTGCAGGTGCAACCCAATAAATATGCTTATAGTTAGTTGCCATGACAACATGTATGTAATCTAATAACAATCATGATACTGCTGCTCCTGCAGGTGCAACCCAATAAATATGCTTATAGTTAGTTGCCATGACAACATGTATGTAACATAATAACAATCATGATACTGCTGCTCCTGCAAGAGCATGGCAATAAATACGCCTACAGTCAGATGCTATGACAACACATTCATAACTTTAGTAAGTATTAAGGCATGAACACAGGAATTGCAATCCAAAAGCCAACATTGGTATCAACAACACTCCTGTTGTATACTTGAGTACTTTGAACAGTCAGTGTCCAGCAGGGGTCGATTTAACTGCTAGCCCGTTGTCTTGTGTCAGGTAAATTACAAAGGGCTTGCTGAAACGTAAAGTAGAAGCCCATCTGTCAAAATTTCACCACTTCTCCGTGTATGTTCCATTTTTTTAACTGGATCATTTTGGCAGAATGACAACCCGCCACCATTTTGTATTGTTGTGTACAACAACTTCTTTATTTGCTCATAAATCACCATGGAATGAGGCAAATGGAAGCCAAGATTTAATCTCAGAGTGCAGGAAAAAACATTTTACATGTACAAGCCAGGTAAATCCAGGGGAAGCCAGGTGAAGCCAGGTGAAGCCAGTGGAAGCCTGTGGAAGCCAGGTAAAGCCAGGGGAAGCCAAGGGAAGCCAGGTAAAGCCATTGGAAGCCAGGTAAAGCCAGGTAAAGCCAGGGGAAGCCAGGTAAAGCCAGGGGAAGCCAGGGGGAGCCAGTGGAAGCCAGGTAAAGCCAGGGGAAGCCAGGTAAATCCAGGGGAAGCCAGGTAAAGCCAGTGGAAGCCAGGTAAAGCCAGGTAAAGCCAGGGGAAGCCAGGTAAAGCCAGTGGAAGCCAGGTAAAGCCAGGGGAAGCCAGGTAAAGCCAGGTAAAGCCAGTGGAAGCCAGGGGAAGCCAGGTAAATCCAGGGGAAGCCAGTGGAAGCCAGGGGAAGCCAGGTAAAGCCAGTTGAAGCCAGGTAAAGCCAGGTAAAGCCAGGGGAAGCCAGGGGGAGCCAGTGGAAGCCAGGGGAAGCCAGTGGAAGCCAGGGGAAGCCAGGAGAGCCAGTGGAAGCCAGTGGAAGCCAGGGGAAGCCAGGTAAAGCCAGTGGAAGCCAGTGGAAGCCAGGTAAAGCCAGGTGAAGCCAGGTAAAGCCAGTGGAAGCCAGGGGAAGCCAGTGGAAGCCAGGTAAAGCCAGTGGAAGCCAGTGGAAGCCAGGGGGAGGCCAGGGGGAGGCCAGGGGAAGCCAGGGGAAGCCAGGTGAAGCCAGGGGAAGCCAGGTAAAGCCAGGGGAAGCCAGGGGAAGCCAGGGGAAGACTAGCACCAGCTCATCATGCACACACATAGGAAGGTTAGCATGGTTAGATTGAGGAAACTAAACTTGGCATGCTTCACAACAAACATCACTGCCGATATGTTACATAAAATGGAATACATACCACTAAATATTACAGCCTTTTTATAAATGGTTGTGGTTCTCATAACAGGATGGTGCCAAGTAACAACACCGACAATGTTGACAAAGGTACATGTCTTTTACACAATCGTGCTTACACAGTAAATATATTTTAAAATTACACTGAAATAAGACCATATGTGACTAAGTCGTGACAATTTGACCTTCATGTTTCATGAACCACAACGTCCTTGACCTGAACATATATACAGGAGACATGCAGCGTGGAGGTTACTGACTGTAGGGGTCAGTAGGGGTCAGTAGGGACAGGAGGCGTCAGTCCACCACGATGAAGATGATGATGACGATGATGATGATGATGACTGTCATGATGATGGGATACTAGCAACATACTGAAAGCAGCAGTGTACCTACAAGTGTACAAGCCTGGCAATAGGAGCACCAATACTACAGTCCTGGGTGTACAAGACAACCATAGCGCTACGACTGTTGTAAGTCTATGTTAGGGTATGGGAGTAACAACAACCATAGCGCTACGACTGTTGTAAGTCTATGTTAGGGTATGGGAGTAACAACAACCATAGCGCTACGACTGTTGTAAGTCTATGTTAGGGTATGGGAGTAACAACAACCTTAGCGCTAAGATCGCCTTATACAACAGCGCCCTGTACAGAGTTGCCAACCAGTGTCAGTTCAAGCTAGTCACATGTCCAAAGTACAAGAAACCTGAAATCCTAGCTAATTTTACTTTTCTACTGACTATACCTGCTTTCTAAGCATACTTCCACAAACAAACTCAAACAGGAAAACTGGGTGTCCAAGCCTCCAGATACTATTCTGCATGTAATTGACAGTGTTAAATACTCCCCATCTTGAAGAATGGAACATGGGAATATTACTCATCAATGTATCTGCTGTGTTTTGAGAAAACCTTCAACTGTTGGGAACATTAGATTTACTCATGTCAATTAGCAGGATAAAGACATCCAACTTACTTCCCTGTTTTACAGATTGTCTGGATGAATATGCCAGGAGAGAAGAGGTAAACTATACAAATAAGTGTGTGTTAAAAAAAGATAAATTTCAGACACAGCATTGTCATAATGTCTGGCATGACTTAGGACAGGCTTGTGTGACCAACTATCTGGGCCCTGTTCCACAAAGCGAGCTTAGCGTCGTAAGTCCCATTCTTTAACATACACTTCCTACAATCGAAGCGCTAAGAGAATCATACCTCCCACACTCTAACATACACTTATGACGATCATAGCGCTAATCTAAGACCATTGTCACTACCATACTTAAATATACACTTAGGATAATCGTAGCGCGAAGACAATCATAACTCCCACACTTTAAACTACACTTATGACGATCGTAGTGCTAAGACCATGGTAACTCCAACACGTTTACATACACTTACGACAATCACAGTGCTAAGACCATTGTCATTCCGATACTTTACCGTAGACTTACAACAACCGTAGCACTTACACAATCGTAACTCCCATAGTTTAACATTAACTGATAACAATCGTAGCACTAAGATCATTTTGTGCAAAGGGTGCATGGTTGAGCAACTCCGACAAACAGGGATGCCAAGGTCCAGGAAACACTTAATACTGAGCTGCTTCACGAACACATCTACAGCGGCAACAAAATGGATTAGCAGCAATGTGAGCAGGATGCTATTGAATGATGAAAGCTGTTAGGTTAGCGGCAATGTTAGGAAGATGAAAGAACGCTGTCGGCGTCGGACATACCAGGTAACACACCATCAGCGGAGCCAGTTTGATCTTTAACTTGGCCATCCAAGGGAAGCAGCAGTGAGCCAGCATGGCCCCCGGGTGATACTTCAACACAAAGACGACCCAAACAATTAAAACTTACTCCCTGGTGGGAAAAAATAATAAAGATTTGATGGCAACTTTAATGTGTCTCACCTGTTGTATTGCCTTATGGACTGAAAGGCTGCATACATCCAGGCTAATGATGTGAATCCACACCAGGAACATAGTGACACACACACACATTTCATTGCTAGTACAGCTAAGTACCGCCTTGTATCTTGCGATGCAATACGTATCACGATACACCTCTGGACTCATTCATTTACTAATTATTATCTCAAAAACAAACTTGTTAACGAAAAAAAACCAAGAACAAAACAGTTTTTTAATATGCATCTCGCTTGTCCTCTATCATCCCTTCCTTGTGTTACGCCATGCTTACAAGTTGAGCAATGCTACTCCTTCCCTTACGGGAAGTAACTGTATCAGTTTCTGTTCTATTTGAAGCGTATCATGATCTCACAAACTGACGATTCAAATAGTGTCTGTACCTTAGTATCAATGATATCGTAGGTATCGGAGAATTATTACAGCCCTAACTGCTAGGGTGCAGTCATACAGATGCTTATTGTCATACGTCAGGGGTTTGTATTCACCACGTGAATACACAGTGAATACATAGAGCCGATGTGCAATGTAGCAGGGAGGCATCAAGAGTAGAACTCCGGGACGACAAATAAGCCTAACTCTGTGGATTAACCTTGAACGACCTTGCTGTTGTAGAGAAGATGGCCGCAAGGCTGACAAAAGCTGTAGGAAGAATATTGCCATTTGTGCGATGACCTGTGTTCATGCACGTAGTAGGGGTCATCTGACTTCTGTGAGTTACTAACAACCTCATTTTCAATAGTTAACTGAATAGACAGGCATTGCCACACTGCACAGGGACTTATGTATTCACTGGGCATGAAGCAGCGTCTACAACACCTGTCAAGTATAGACGATGGTACCCTGGGAGCTAATATGAAAGTGAGTGAGTTTGATTTACTGCCATTTTGAACAGTATTTCAGTTATTTCACGACATGTCAGATTGGCGTGGGAGGCAAGCCTGAATTGATATAGGTATCAGACGTTTACCGCTTTAGTGAAACCCACAAGAACTGGATGTTGCTGAGTTACTTAGAAAAATAGTCAGAGCGAACCAAGATTTGAGCCCATGATCATAGGATTCTGGCATGACTAAGGGACACAACTCTGCACATACAATTGCAGGACCTACTGTTTCAGCAGAGTATACGATAGGATGCTTGACTACTATGTCATTGTACCCCTCCTTCAAACACTAGTTGGTGTCAAGCACGTGTACCACACTGGAAGTCCTTGGCTGGGTCACCTTCATTGTTGATTACATTGTCATTACATAAGGAGATGAGAAAACGTACACAAAAACAATGTTAGTTAAGAAAGGAGTACATACAACCACTAGGATCATGCTTCAGTGACTCTCTACTACTGCAGAGAACAAGATGCTGATAATATGCACGCATTATGGAGTCTATATGTCTACTGTCTATACACAAGAACAGGTAGATATGCAGGTTACAAAGTCGAGCAGTGTTAGAAATTATGGTGTCTAGGGTCCTTGACCTTTACTGCCTTTTTGTGGGAAAGTTGAAATTTAAATTTGCATAGACAATGTTAAAGCTATATAATCATGTAAACAAGTCATTACTTTTTTGACAAGCTTTTGTACTTAAATGTTTGATTATTAAGATTCGGGGCTATGACAAGCAGTCAAACACCCCTTGACTCTCGTGCTTAATTTGTAACACTGGGGGCAGTACATGGACAAACACAGTCGATGACTACCTTCTGGGCCATGGCAGCAAACTCCGCACTCTTCTGCATGAGCTGCGCATCTCGAGTGGCACACTCCTGCTGCACCTTGTTCAGGTCACGCTGCGCCGTCATCAGCTCCACGTGAAGGTCGCTGATAGACTTCTCCATGCAGTCCATGGATAGCGATGACACCATAGACGCTGACGCCGACGCTGTGGCTCCCCCATAGGAGTAGTCACTTTGGTCCTGGAACAAACAAATTGATACACTGAGATGGTGACGGGAGGTAATAAAATGGCCGAAATAAAGTTGCTGTCAATATTATTGCACTAGTATAGTGGCATACACACACTGTACACGCACTGTACACACTACACACGCTGTACATATGTTGTACACGTGCTGTACACGCACTGTACATGTGCTGCACACACACTGTACACACAGTTCTCACACCACAGTTCACACACGCTGTACACACACTACACACTGTACACACACTACACACGCTGTACAATTCACACACTACACACAAAGTACACACACTACACTTCACACACACTACACATGCTGTACACCTCACACACTGTACACACACTACACACGCTGTACACTTCACACTGTACACACACTGAACACTTCACACACTGTACACACACGCTGTACACACACTTCACACACTGTACATGCCCTGTTCACGCGCTGTACACACACTGTACATGCCCTGTTCACACACTGTACACACACTGAACACTTCACACACTGTACACACAAAGTACACACTTCACACACGCTGTACATACACTTCACACACACTGTACACGCCCTGTTCACACTGTAAACGCCCTGTTCACGCGCTGTACACACACTTCACAGACAATGTACACGCCCTGTACACACGCTGTACACACACTGTACACACATTACACATGCTGTACACACACTACACACGCTGTACACTGTTCACACTGTATACATACTGTTCACGCACTGCACACACACTACACACGCTGTACACACACTGTTCACACGTTGAACACACTACACACGCTGTACACACACACACGGTACACACACACACGGTACACACGCTGTACACACACTGTTCACACGCTGTACACACTGTATACACACTATTCACGCGCTGCATACACACTACACATGCTGTACACGCCCTGTACATGCTGTACAAACACTTCACACACTGTTCACACACTGTATACACACTATTCACGCGCTGCACACACGCTGCACACACACTACACATGCTATACACGCCCTGTACATGTTGTACACACACTTCACACACTGTACACACACTGTACATCACGCCACCCACCATATGCATGCTCATCATGTCCTGCATCAGCTGCTGTAGATCATGTAGACAGTCGCCCAGTTTGCCGGCCTGTCCTCCGTGGGCCCCAGCATCCTCATCTGAGGAGTCATTGGAACAGGTGCTCTCCCCCTTGATGACTCTCAGCATCTTCTGTAGCTGCTTGTACGTCCCGATCACCTCGGTGCGCAGCTGGAGACAACACCACCAGTGAGAAACACTACCCATGACAACATCTTTTCTCTTCAAGTGTGAAAAGCAAGGCATGTAAAATACCTGTATTCTTGACACCGCAACAAACTACTAATTATAAGAACAGCCGATTTTCTCATAGGACTGTATACTGCTTTTGAGTCGCATATATCTAAAACTCAATGTTAAAATCTCAAAAACCATGTCATACATTCAAAGTTAAGTTTATTGCACTTATATAGCGACGTGCATACATGTGTGTGTGTGTGTGGCTGCTTGTACTAGACCGGACTGATGCTGATTTATAGTGCTAGCCCACTGAGATACCATGCCGCAGTTTAACATGAATATCCCACTCAGACACATTATACTGACTACGAGCCAACCAATCCTTGCTTTTAACCCCTTAATGCCGAGCTCCAGACAGGGTAACAACAAGTACCATCTTTTAACGTCTTTTGGTAAGACGCGGCCGGGGATCGAACCTGACCTACCGCTCTCCGGGCGGACGCTCTACCACTTGACCATGGAGGCAGTCTATGGCCTATCATGATCATGTCTTTGAATGGCATTAAGAAGTGATCCACACAAAGAAGAGAATTTAAGGATGCCATCATCATCACCATCATCATCATCATCATGCCTAGTGCATGGGACATTTAATGTTAATCTAGTGTATAATCACTTTTCCCTGTACCCACTCTCCCATAACAACTGTCATGTCAATCGATGCCCCGTGTAATGTCAATCACGGGGGAAACAGTTTCCCACTGAGGTCTTCAACACCACACACTATCAGTGCTGGACAACAGTCTAACTGGGGTGAGTCACTGAGTGTTGGTTTAACACCAATTTCAAATGTTTCACGTTTATATCATCACATGTCAGCATCCTGTGGGAGGACAGCCTGAAGTGATCTTAGATCTTAGAGCTTTACCACTTTGATGAAACCCAAGAGCATGAGTTATTGCTGACAAAAGCTAGAAACACAATCTGTATGAACAAAGAATCCAACAAACAAATGAAGACCTTTTTCCAAACTAATTTCAACCTTTTTCAGGCAACCTCAAATTTTCAAATGCGATTTTCTCAAAATCAGTCTTTTGTTAGTTATCACTATCTTCCCCTGAGGCTATGGCACATCAAAGGGAGGTAACTCTAGACAGGGAATTGCAGCAGCTGAGGAAGAACAGATATGAAAGGGAGGATCACCTCTGTCTCCTCCTCTCTGCTGGATGAGGTGGCCGTGGCCTCCTGGAACTCTGTTAGGAAGCTGCTCTCGTTCGATATTGTGGAGTTGGCCAGCATCGCCATCTCGAACTGGTCGTCATCATCATCACACTCATAGTCGTCTTCATCCAGCATCTCTGCCGACATGCTGCGGTGCCATGGGTTGAGAGGGTGCTGAAGTGTAACGACATTCATACCATCAGTACTGGCGTGTACATTACCAAGGAGAAGACAAATGTTTTGTACGGCTGACTGTGATCACTCCATGACCTCATAAATGTATTTAATAGTATTCATAGGCATCAAAGAGAGAGGTGAAAAGGTTTAAGGATTGGTTCCACAACACCGGCACGATGGACCCACCTACGTCTTCGAAGTGACAAACCAATGGCAAGGTGGCCTCACCCATGTCAAAGGTGTGCCCCAACACAGGCAAGATGGACCCACCCACATCCTAGGGGTGCCATGACACAGGCAAGATGGACCCACCCATATCCTAGGGGTGCCATGACACTGGCACGATGGACCCACCCACATACTTGGGGTGCTACACCTCTGGCAAGATGGACCCACCCACATCCTAGGGGTGCCATGACACTGGCACGATGGACCCACCCACATACTTGGGGTGCTATACCTCTGGCAAGATGGACCCATCCACATCCTAGGGGTGCTACACCCCTGGCAAGATGGACCCACCCACATCCTAGGGGTGCTATGACACTGGTACGATAGACCCACCCACATACTAGGGGTGCTACACACCTGGCAAGATCGACCCACCCACATCCTAGGGGTGCTATGACACTGGCAAGATGGACCCACCCACATCCTAGGGGTGCTACACCTCTGGCAAGATGGACCCACCCACATCCTAGGGGTGCCAGACACTGGTACAATGGACCCATCCACATCCTAGGGGTGCTACACTTCTCGCAAGATGGATCCACCCACATCCTAGAGTGCCAGTCACCTGCAAGATGGACCCACCCACATTCTTGTAGAGCTACACCACGAGCAAGGTAGACCCACCCACGTCCTGGCAGCACCTACTTACATCTTCCCGCATCTCGCTGTGTAGGGAATTCTCGAAGCCGGGCGACATGGCAGTGAGCTCGCTGAACAGGTTCATGGAGGGCCCGGTGGAGCTGGACTGACTCTGCTGAGACAAATGTTCCACCTGTGCCTGGAGCTGGGCGTTGGCCTCCTGGAGCTCCATCACCTCCCGCTGCTGCTGGTGGAGCTAGAACAGGAACAAGATGGCAGTGTAGGTGCAGCAGTAGACATTCAGTTTTTGAACACCCGTCCGGTACCTTATTTCACTAGTCCTCAGAGTTTGTACCTAGACTTTCTGGACCACACTACTCTGCACCACTGTGCAGGAAGACAATGCTCTGAAATACTTGGATCATGGTGCTTGAGACACTATTGTCCTCACTGGAGATGTCAAATGTAATAGTCGGCACACTGATCAGTCTTGTTACACTATCTTTCATTTAATCAGCGAGAAGTGACCCGTGAAGATCGGGATTGTCTGGTCCAGACTAAATTATTTACAGATTGCCGTCATATAGCTGGAATATTGCTGAGTGCGGCGTTAAACAACAAACAGTGATAAGTTATGAATAGCAACAATTTTAGCAATCATTTGCATAACAGCAAATTAAGCTAAAGAGATGTAGATCAAATTCAGACTTTAAATCCCAAAAGGGATGACACCTGTCGGCATTCCCCATGTTACCTGTTGATCCTTCTCCTGCTTTTGTCTCTCCAGCATCATGATGCGGTCGTGGGACTCCTCCAGACTACAGGCCAGGGCGTCACGCTCTTCGGTCAGCATCCCGATCCGCTTCTCCACCTCATGGCATTTCTCCTGGATTTGGTTTTTCTGTGACATCACAAACACAAAACCGGTGTCAGAAGCTCATTTGACATGCATTATCTTTGTATTTAAAGACTAAACTCTGCATCAGTTGAAATAAACACATTACAAAAGTTGTTGATATGTGGATACAAAACTTCCCCTCAAATACGAAACTGTCATCTGCTTTTGGGAATGACTTTACGGTGGCCATCTTTGTTTGCTTTAGGTTAGCAGTTGAGTGTCCACATGTGTGAGTGCAGCAGGTGTATTGTGTTGGCTGATGAATACAAAGGTATACAAAGAACCTGTGTCGGTCTATTTTGACAAATGTAACACTGTATTATTTCCAGAAATGGACATACCCAAGGTACATAATTCAATGATACTCACATCGGCGAAGTTGATCGACCTGAGTGTACTCACCTCTTCCCGGAGAATCTCCAGGTGGATGACATGTTCGTGCATCGACGTCCGTTTCGACATCATCTGCTCCCTCAGAGTCTGCACCTCCTCCCCCAACTCCTCCTCACGGTACGCAGACTGTTACCATGGAAACAACAGTTAGGTGAGTGAGTGAGTTGGGATTAAAGCAGCTTTTAAATTTCCAGTTATATCATGGCGTGTCAGCTTAATGTGGGAGGAAAGCCCAAAGTTATGCAGGTCTTAGACACTTACCACAACAGTTAGTAATAGAACCACTTGTAATACTCTCACATAAATGATTTAAATCGCAATTGTTCTATATCATGTATGTATAAGCAACTTTTTACAATCTCAACATTTGAATGAACCTTTTTTTTCTGCCATTCTCAGATTGTATGAGGCCAAGTTGTTTCAAATATCCAGTGTTTGGCCTAAAGTGTTGGACACCTGACATTGTCACAAGCTGACAGTGGTGTCTGACGTTTGTCTTGAATGTCAAAGAGTATTATTAGCACACATAAACAGTGAAAATTCTATTGGATCATCAAACACAACTTCAGGACCTTGTAACACCTTATAGCTGTTCCTGACCACTACCTGTTTGAGCTGTTCGTTGAGTCTCTCATTCTGCTGCTTGAGGCTGCGGATGGTCTGTGAGCGCTCCCTGTCACCCGTCTGCTCCTGCTGCTTGCTCGACTGCAGCTCGTGGCGCAGGTAGCCGATGTCATACTGCAGCTCCTTCACGGTGTTCTCATACTCTGCCTCGATCTTCTCCAGACGCAGATGCAGCTCATGCCGTTCCTGCTCCAGTTCCTGCACAGAGTGAGTGAGTGGATGTGAGTGACTGTGGGAGGGTGAGTGAGAGGTTGACTGTGTGGGAGGGTGAGTGAGAGTGACTGTGTGGGAGGATGTGGGTGAGGTTGACTGTGTAGGAGGGTGAGTGAGTGGGACTGTGAGTGGGACTGTGTGGGAGGATGAGTGAGTGAGGTTGACTGTGTAGGAGGATGAGTGAGTGAGGTTGACTGTGTAGGAGGATGAGTGAGTGAGGTTTACTGTGTAGAAGGGTGAGTGAGAGGTTGACTGTGTGGGTAGGTGAGTGAGAGTGACTGTGTGGGTAGGTGAGTGAGAGTGACTGTGTGGGAGGATGAGTGAGTGAGGTTGACTGTGTGGGAGGATGAGTGAGTGAGAGTGAGTGTGTAGGAGGGTGAGTGAGTGGGAGTGTGAGTGAGCGGGACTGTGTGGGAGGGTGAGTGAGTGAGTGAGTGAGGTTGACTGTGTAGGAGGATGAGTGAGTGAGGTTGACTGTGTAGGAGGATGAGTGAGTGAGGTTTACTGTGTAGAAGGGTGAGTGAGAGGTTGACTGTGTGGGTAGGTGAGTGAGAGTGACTGTGTAGGAGGGTGAGTGAGTGGGACTGTGTAGGAGGATGAGTGAGTGAGGTTGACTGTGTGGGAGGATGAGTGAGTGAGAGTGAGTGTGTAGGAGGGTGAGTGAGTGGGAGTGTGAGTGAGCGGGACTGTGTGGGAGGGTGAGTGAGTGAGTGAGTGAGTGAGGTTGACTGTGTAGGAGGGTGAGTGAGTGAGGTTGACTGTGTGGGAGGGTGAGTGAGGTTGACTGTGTGGGAGGGTGAGTGAAGTTGACTGTGTGGGAGGGTGATTGAGTGTGGTTGACTGTGTGGGAGGGTGAGTTAGGTTGACTGTGTAGGAGGGTGAGTGAGAGTGACTGTGGGAGGGTGAGTGAGTGAGGTTCACTGTGTAGGAGGGTGAGTGAGTGAGGTTGACTGTGTAGGAGGGTGAGTGAGTGAGGTTGCCTGTGTAGGAGGGTGAGTGAGTGGGACTGTGTGAGAGGGTGAGTGAGTGAGTGAGTGAGGTTGACTCTGTAGGAGGGTGAGTGAGTGAGGTTGAATGTGTGGGAGGGTGAGTGAGTGAGGGTGAGTGAGTGAGGTTGACTGTGGGAGGGTGAGTGAGTGAGGTTGACTGTGTAGGAGGGTAAGTGAGTGAGGTTGACTGTGTGGGAGTGTGAGTGAGGTTGACTGTGTGGGAGGGTGAGTGAGTGAGGTTGACTGTGTAGGAGGTTGAGTGAGTGAGGTTGACTGTAGGAGGGTGTGTGAGTGAGGTTGACTGTGTGGGATGGTGAGTGAGGTTGACTGTGTGGGAGGGTGAGTGAGGTTGACTAGGAGGATGTGTGAGGTTGACTGTGTGGGAGGGTGAGTGTGATTGACTGTGTGGGAGGGTGAGTGAGGTTGACTGTGTAGGAGGGTGAGTGAGTGAGAGTGACTGTGTAGGAGGGTGAGTGAGTGAGTGGGACTGTGTGGGAGGGTGAGAGAGGTTGACTGTGTGGGAGGGTGAGTGAGGTTGACTGTGTGGGAGGGTAAGTGAGGTTGACTGTGTGGGAGGGTGAGTGAGGTTGACTGTGTAGGAGGGTGAGTGAGTGAGGATGTCTGTGTGGGAGGGTAAGTGAGTGAGGTTGACTAGGAGGGTGTGTGAGGTTGGCTGTGTGGGAGGGTGAGTGAGGTTGACTGTGTGGGAGGGTGAGTGGGGTTGACTGTGGTAGGGTAAGTGAGGTTGACTGTGTGGGAGGGTGAGAGAGGTTGACTGTGTGGGAGGGTGAGTGAGGTTGACTGTGTGGGAGGGTGAGTGAGGTTGACTGTGTGGGAGGGTGAGGGGTTGACTGTGTGGTAGGGTAAGTGAGGTTGACTGTGTGGGAGGGTGAGTGGGGTTGACTGTGTGGGAGGGTGAGTGAGAGTGACTGTGTTGGAGGATGAGTGGGGTTGACTGTGTGGGAGGGTGAGTGAGAGTGACTGTGTTGGAGGATGAGTCACAGTGACTGTGTGGGAGGGTGAGTGAGAGTGACTGTGTTGGAGGATGAGTGAGAGGTTGACTGTGTGGGTAGGTGAGTGAGAGTGACTGTGTGGGAGGGTGAGTGAGTGAGGTTGACTGTGTGGGAGGGTGAGTGAGTGAGGTTGACTGTGTAGGAGTGAGTGAGTATGGTTTTACGCCGCTTTTAGCAATATTCCAGCAATATCACGGCGGGGGACACCAGAAATGGGCTTCACACATTGTACCCATATCGGGAATCGAACCCGGGTCTTCGGCGTGACGAGCCAACGCTTTAACCACTTGGCTACCCGACCGCCCCTGACTGTGTAGGAGGGTGAGTGAGTGAGGTTGACTAGGAGGGTGTGTGAGGTTGACTGTGTAGGAGGGTGAGTGAGTGAGGTTGACTGTGTGGGAGGGTGAGGTTGACTGCATGGGAGGGTAAGTGAGTGAGATTGGCTGTAGGAGGGTGAGTGAGTGAGAGTGACTGTGTGGGAGGGTGAGGTTGACTGCATGGGAGGGTAAGTGAGTGAGATTGACTGTAGGCGGGTGAGTGAGGTTGACTGTGTGGAAGGGTGAGTGAGGTTGACTAGGAGGGTGAGTGAGGTTGACTGAGAGGGTGAGTGAGGTTGACTGTGTGGGAGGGTGAGTGAGTGAGGTTGACTGTGTGGGAGGGTAATTGAGTGAGTGAGTGAGCATGTATATGTGATTTTTGTGAATAGATAGAAATGTTTCCAGCCTCGGGATAGCCGACAAGTAGCAGCTTTGAACACTGAATGTCACATACCTCTATCTTCGAGGAGTACTCTTCCAGTAGCTGTTCATTCCTGGTCGAGAGTTCGAGATTTTTGTCCAGCAAAGCCTTCCCAAGCTCAGCTGCAAGGATCAGGTCTTGCTCTTTCTGAGCCAACTGAGCATATAGGTCGCCCTCACTGGGGGAATCCCCTTGGTAGGACGCCATGGACACAAGAGTTAGGAGATCTTCAAGTTCACAGAGTGCTGGAGTGGATCCCGAAGGAGACAAGTCTAGCTTGCATGCACACATGGCTCTCCCCTTGCGCTGGGGTGGGCACTGTCCTTACAATGCTGCAATGCCAAACTTCGAATTAGCAAACGACCATATATTTAGTGTTTAGTTTATAAAATATTTCCTGGTTGCCAATGTGTCTTAGAACATGAAAATTATGTGTCAGTATACAAGGAACTCTCAACATGCTCAACACAAGACTTACTACATACATCACAGTTAGAAAAGCTACAAAAACATATTTTTTAGGGTAAAAATATCTTTTATACTTATCCTGACTCATACTAATTGCTTATGTCATCTCATTCCAAAAGTTAAGTGGAAACTCCTGTGCTGTGTCCCCAAGAAAAGAAAAAACAAACAATACCACTAATGATGGGTAGAGTCAACTGATATTTGATTTCTGATCAGCCAAATACCACTAGTGATGGGTAGAGTCAACTGATATTTGATTTCTGATCAGCCAAATACCACTAGTGATGGGTAGAGTCAACTGATATTTGATTTCTGACAAGCCAAATACCACTAGTGATGGGTAGAGTGAACTGATATTTGATTTCTGATCAGCCAAATACCACTAGTGATGGGTAGAGTCAACTGATATTTGATATCTGATCAGCCAAATACCACTAGTGATGGGTAGAGTCAACTGATATTTGATTTCTGACAAGCCAAATACGACTAGTGATACGCAATGATAAAAAAAACAAGACTAAAAGCATGTCAAGATTGAACCTTTTATGATTTTGGAACAGTCAAAATAACAAGACTACTGAAGTTGTTCAGCTTCAAAGTGGAACTTTCTCTAACTTTCCTTCAAAACAATTCAAAGTTCAAACACCAGAAAATAATTAATGTGCTCCACCAGTGATACAACTTCAAAGAATTTTGATGCAATGATCGAAGAAATTGTATCTGAAATTATTGTTTTATCAGGAATAATTTATTCCAATATCGTGTTACCTTAGTTGCAGCTTTCACAATATAATTATATATATAATTATAAGAACCACAAGTGTAGCATTTTGGTACTGGTGATTGCTGTTGCAGGTTATTTTTACGTATGGAACAATTTGACCAGTCACCATAGGGACTTCCTGCGCTACATGCATTTTGATTGCGAAAACGTTATGTTGACATATATTAGCCAAATTGCCACAAATATGACTTTTAACAAGTCAAAGTATGGCATTTTTAATATATGTATCCATTCTCTAGCAACTAAAGTTCGTTCCAATGCGTCAAAAGCGGTAATCTGACCGTGGTTGCTTTATCTTTTCACACACAATTTCACATTACTTAATGAAAACAATATTAAATGAAATTTTGAAAAAAACTATTAAAATATATTACAAACACAAGTCCAGATATACAATGAACACGTTTTAATAACAAGATAGTATGATAATGGTATTGAATTGCGTACTTCAGTTCGAATTTGCTGACAGGTATTTCCATTGTTATGTGCTTGCGAGGATCAGCTGATAATGTTTTTTGAGATGGGGAAAAACATCTGTCGGTGTAAAACCTGAGCTTATTAAAAATGTAAGTACGTTTTTGGGAGCCATGCGTTACCGCGCGCTATAACCAAGTTAGCGGTTTATTGAAAGGCACAATAGCGAGGAAACGCTGTACTTGAGATTTGCGTTCCGTATCGTGGCATATCGATAAATGGGCCTACGTTTATCGTATATCGTATCATGGGTCAAGTATCGCGATGCATCGGAATATCGGTGTATTGTTTCACCCTAGAGTGAACTGATATTTGATCCCGACAAGCCAAATACCACTAGTAATGGGTAGAGTCAACTGATATTTGATTTCTGACAAGCCAAATACCACTAGTGATGGGTAGAATCATCCAGTATTTGATTTCTGACAAGCCAAATACCACTAGTGATGGGTAGAGTGAACTGATATTTGATTTCTGACAAGCCAAATACCACTAGTGATGGGTAGAATCAACAAGTATTTGATCCCGACAAGCCAAATACCACTAGTGATGGGTAGAGTGAACTAATATTTGATCCCGACAAGCCAAATACCACTAGTGATGGGTAGAGTCAACTTATTTTTGATTTCTGACAAGCCAAATACCACTAGTGATGGGTAGAGTGAACTGATATTTGATTTGTGACAAGCCAAATACCACTAGTGATGGGTAGAGTGAACTGATATTTGATCCCGACACGCCAAATACCACTAGTGATGGGTAGAGTGATCTGATATTTGATCCAGACAAGCCAAATACCACTAGTGATGGGTAGAGTCAACTGATATTTGATTTCTGACAAGCCAAATACCACTAGTGATTGGTAGAGTCAACTGATATTTGATCCCGACAAGCCAAATACCACCAGTGATGGGTAGAAAGACTGATATTTGATTTCTGACAAGCCAAATACCACTAGTGATGGATTGTCAACTGATATTTGATTTCTGACAAGCCAAATACCACTAGTGATGGGTAGAGTCAACTGATATTTGATCCCGACAAGCCAAATACCACCAGTGATGGGTAGAAAGACTGATATTTGATTTCTGACAAGCCAAATACCACTAGTGATGGGTAGAGTGAACTGATATTTGATCCCGACAAGCCAAATACCACTAGTGATGGGTAGTCAACTGATATTTGATTTCTGACAAGCCAAATACCACTAGTGATGGGTAGAGTGAACTGATATTTGATTTGTGACAAGCCAAATACCACTAGTGATGGGTAGAGTGAACTGATATTTGATTTCTGACAAGCCAAATACCACTAGTGATGGGAAGAGTGAACTGATATTTGATCCTGACAAGCTAAATACCACTAGTGACGGGTAGAGTCAACTGATATTTGATTTCTGACAAGCTAAATACCACTAGTGATGGGTAGTCAACTGATATTTGATTTCTGACAAGCTAAATACCACTAGTGATGGGTAGAGTGAACTAATATTTGATTTCTGACAAGCCAAATACCACGAGTGATGGGTAGTCAACTGATATTTGATTTCTGACAAGCCAAATACCACTAGTGATGGGTAGTCAACTGATATTTGATTTCTGACAAGCCAAATACCACTAGTGATGGGTAGAGTGAACTGATACTTGATGCTCCCAAAATACCACTAATTACTGATTGGAAGAGTCAACTGAGAAATCCCATTCAGTGTCAGTAAGAGTCACTGACAATTGGCAATACTCAATCAAGGCCAATCAACATAATATGCAGTGACAATTCACCCTAAAATATACATCAAACATAAAACATGAGAGGCCAAGTGCACTGCAATTAAAGTTTGTTTTGTTTTATCCAATATGATATATCATAAATGCCTTACCATGACTCGCTAAAAGTCACATTTGAGGCAGTTTGACTATTAAATGTCAACATAACGTTTTTCACAATCGAAATACATGTTGCATGGGAAGTCCCTACGGTGACTGGTCAAATTGTTCCATACGTAAACAAAATATCCTGCATACCACCTGTACCAAAGTGCTACGCTTATAATTCTTATAATTTTAAGTATATTTAGTGGAAGCTGCAACTAAAATAACATGATATTGGAATTTATTATTCATGATAAAAAAATAATTTCAGATACAATTTCTTCCGACCATTGCATCAAAATTCTTTGAAGTTGTATCATTGGATACTTTTAAACTGAATCCCCGCTAGAATGGGAGGAAACGTGTGCACAGCTGATTGCTATTTCCGGCTTAGTTTACGAGAAAATACCCATGGTAATCTTAATCTCTGCATATAAAACAATGCCTTGGAGAGCAGGAAATACATTTTACATTAACAACTTCTATTCTAATCTTATTTTAAACTCTGAAATGTACAACATAGATAGTGTTAGGTAGGCAGAGCATGTATACTGTTTTGTATACTCCCTACGACTCGTTAAAAGTCATATTTCTTAGAGTCTGACTTATGTGTCAACAAAGTTTTCGCGATCGAGAGTGTGTGAGCCTCTACCGTGACTTGTGTGTTCATATATAATATTTCGTCAAAGCTAGACCAAGCGAAGCTTCTAAAGTCAGTACTAGACCTACCTCGCATTACAAATTCCAAGAAATGTAGTCAACTGTCCATCATTCAATTTCCAAGAAGTGTTACTACGATCTACCAATGAGACAAACCTGGTTCTCATTGTTGCTGACCTGCCTGACATCAAAGTGTATTAATCCCATTGGTTGACTGGTGTAAGTGTATGCAAATTAGATTGCCATTCTGTTACATTAGCAAAATATTAGCCAATGAATAATCGTAACATGATCACATGATTACATGCTCATGAAACTTGACCCAGTTCATTTTGTATGCTCTACTTGTCCACAGGCATGCTAGAAACTCGCCCGACATCTAAACCGTACTTGGCACCGGCGTCAGGCAATGGTATTTTTCAACCCCTGCAAACCCAGAATCACACTGACAATCACAAGTAAGGGTGAAACGATACACCGATATTCCGATGCATCGCGATACTTGACCCATGATATGGTATACGATAAACGTGGGCCCATTTATCGATACGCCACGATACGGAACGCAAATCTCAAGTACAGCGTTTCCTCGCTATTGTGCCTTTCAATAAACTGCTAACTTGGTTATAGCGCACCGTAACGCATGGTTCCCAAAAACGTACTTACATTTTTAATAAGCTCAGGTTTTACACCGACAGATGTTTTTCCCCATCTCATAAAACATTATCAGCTGATCACCGCAAGCACATAACACCGAAAATACCAGTCAGCAAATCCGAACTAAAGTACGCAATTCAATACCATTATTATACTATCTTGTTATTAAAACGTGTTCATTGTATATCTGGACTTGTGTTTGTAATATATTTTATTAATTTTATTCAAAATTTCATTAATATTGTTTTCATTAAGTAATGTGAAATCGTGTGTGAAGAGATACAGCAACCACGGTCAGATTACCGCTTTTGAGGCATTGAAACAAACTTTAGTTCCTAGAGAATGGATACATATATTAAAAATGCCATACTTTGACTCGTTAAAAGTCATATTTGTGGCAATTTGGCTAATTTATGTCAACAAAACGTTATCGCAATCGAAATACATGTAGGACGGGAAGTCCCTAGGGTGACTGGTCAAATTGTTCCATACGTAAAAATATCCTGTAACAGCAATCACCAGTACCAAAATGCTACACTTGTGGTTCTTATAATTATATATATAATTATATAGTGAAAGCTGCAACTAAGGTAACACGATATTGGAATAAATTATTCCTGATAAAACAATAATTTCAGATACAATTTTTTCGACCATTGCATCAAAATTCTTTGAAGTTGTATCACTGGTGGAGTACATTAATTATTTTCTGGTGTTTGAACTTTGAATTGTTTTGAAGGAAAGTTGAAAAACTTCAGTAGTCTTGTCATTATAAAATAATTTTGACTGTTCCAAAAGGTTCAATCTTTACATGCTTTAAGTCTTGTTTTTTTTTTATCATTGTGTATCGAGATACGTATCGTATCGTGACCAGAATATTGAGATGGGTATCTTATCGTGACCTTCCTGTATCGTTGCAGCCCTAATCACAAGTATCTGGCAAAGGATGCAACTCGGTTCAGCAGCTAGCAGCGCTTCAGGAAAAAGACTGGGCCACTTGTGGCCCCCTGTTCAGTCTAGTATGGTTTGATTTATGTTGTTTAACGCTGCACTCAGCAATATTTTAGCTATATGATGACAGTCTGTAAATAATCAAGTCTGGACCAGACAATCCAGGGATTAATATCAAGAGCATCAATCCACACAAGTGGTATTGATGACATGCATCAACCAAGTCAGAGAGTCTGACCACCCAATTCCATTAGTCACCTCTTACGACAGGCACAGTTGCTGTTTACAGCTAGCATGGGTTGCTGGAACTATTCTACACCGGATCTTCACGGGTCGTTCAGTCTAGTAAGCTCAATTAATAATATAATGACACTAAAATCTAATGAAACTGATGTTAAGAGCAATGTTTGGGCTAGTTTGTTTGTTGTTTAACATTGCACTCAGCAATATTCCAGCTATATGACGGCAGTCTGTAAACAATCGAGTCTGGACCAGACAATCTAGGATATAACATCATGGGCATTGATCCACACACTTGGAAAACGTTGACATGCATCAACCAAGTCAGCGAGCCTGACCCCGATATCATGAGCGTCAATCCACACAATTGGGATCGATGACATGCATCAACCAAGTCAGTGAGTCTGACCACCCAATTCTGTTAGTCGCCTCTTACAACAAGCATAGTCGCCTTTGACTGTAAGCATGGGTTGCTGAAGACCTATTCTAACCCAGATCTTCACGGTTCTTTCGGGCTGGTAAACAAGTTTTTCACACAGACTATTACACTGCCATGTATATTCAGACTAGCACAAAATGAGTTTCTATTGATGCATGTGCTAACAAGTAATTCTATCATGCTGTGGAATCTTCTTGAATTTACTGTATTGAAACTAGTAACATGTTAACTGGAACACGACAGTGAGCAGGGCTGGTTAGGGAGCATCGTGTCAAAAGGTTGATGTGACACATACCGTATTCGACGTAATAAGCACCCCGCTCTAATAAGCGCCCACGGCGGTATTTGCTAATATATTGGCTTGTGAACAATCCCAATTAGCACCCCTTCCGATTGATCAATGTTCACAACACTTATTTATTCGTACATAAACATTTCAGGCTGTCAGCATAAACCACGAAATTTCTCTTTCAACTCTGTTTTTTTTTTACCAAAATAATATTCTAATAAGAGCCCCCATTTCTTATTTTGAGAGCGCTCTGGGGGATTATTACGTCGAATACGCCCTCAATACAGTATGTATGTTATACATGCACATTGCACACAATCAATCAGGATAATAATAACATATATTTGTTTCTAAACAATGCTTTAAGGGCAAGTAAAGTGAAAATATTGACTGCAATTTTGTTGTGAATATCTTTTTTTCTAGACACATGAAGTCAATTTCAAAAGGAAAAAAATCATAACATACGTTGAAATTGTTTTCATGTCCAGGTAACTGTTGAAATCACACGCTCTGTAAAGGATTCCAAACAAACCTATTTGGCAGGCATGGCCTAAACATGCTAAAGCTACCGACGCAACGATGGGTGACAATGTTTTCGTTGGCTGATATATGATATCACATCTTTCTACTAAAACACATAAGTGGTGATACTTAGCAGCTACTTGGCTACACCAGGAAATGACCAGCAAGTCAAGAGAAAATCTAAAGGTGTGGCTATTTCTGGTAATCCTACATAAATAACAGCATTGCATACATTGTTGAGTGTATGAAACAACCTTTGATCTTGACTTTGTGATTACCGTATTCAATGTAATAAGCACCTTCTCAAAATTAGAAATAGGGGGCTCTTATCAGTATAGAATTTTGGTGAGAAAAAAAGTGGTGAGTTGAAAGATTGTAAATTTCGTAGTTTATGTTTGCAGCCTGAAATGATACAAAAGAAAAGTATGTGCGTATCATACCTGATAGATATATTTTCCAGAATTTAATTGCCCATAATTAATTGGGATTGTTCACTAGCCAATATATTAGCAATTATCACCATGGGCGCTTATTGGAGCGGAGCGCTTATTACGTTGAATATGGTAATTAAAATAAGAACTAATGTCTGTCACCAGATTTTTTTAACTAACATCCTGTTTGGGTACACTGAACCACTTGGTGTCCTGGGCCTTATTCCACATAATGAACGCTAGTCTGGGATTAATCCATTGAGTAGACAACTGAAGGCATTCTCTATGTCGTTACTATTTTTTGGCATAAGCTGTGAACATGGTTATAAAATGGATGAACAGACAGAAAAGCCATGCAGTGCAATTAACAAATCTGAGCCAAATGTCGAAATTGCACAGTGCGACAAACAGTTGGAACATGTCTTAACCCCAGTGGTGTTTTTTTTTAATTTGGCTGAGGACTTAGCATATCATGTTTCATCGTCTGACACTATTTGCGTCTTTCAAATTTGGTCAAGCAGTTGTGACTTAGCATGCACTAAAGTATTAAGTATGCAAAGCTGCTATGTTCAGTTTACTTGCCCTTTGATGCAACACTGCTTAAAAGATACACAATGAAAAAACAATTACAAAGATGTAACTGGTACATTCAAAATCTCCCCAAAGTAAGAATGGTACATTTGTGTATCCCCCATACATGCGATAGTCTAAAATGTGTACACACTGTACAGTGAGATGAGCATCTTTAATATAAATAACATAATAATAAAACATGGAAACAAGATACATGGATAGCTGTACTATGTCATGATTGGCCATAACAATGAGTAAGTGACTTGGGTTTAACACCACTTTTAACAGTATTCCAGTTATATCACGGCATGTTAGCTTAATGTGGGAGGAAAGCCTGAAGTGACGCACGTCTCAGACGTTTACCACTTTGGTGAAACCGACAAGCATGGGTATGGTGCTGACAAACCTAGAAACATAATCGGAGCGAACCAGGATTCGAACCCACAATCATAGGTTTCTGGCGTGCCCAAGGGCGCAATTCTGCACAGCGAATCTCGGCGCCTTAGACGACCGGGTTACCCGTGCCCCCGGCCAAAGTTATTGCAATGATTACGCAAAACACAGCAAGGCATCTTGAAGTGATCATTGTGATATTTACCAACTGTGTACAGTATTTCAGTCACACCTTGGTGTACCAGCTTGATTTTGGAGGAGATCCCAAAGTGATAGTGTAAACATAGTAAAAACATATTTCGAAAGATCAGAAAACAAACTACCTATTCTAACATTAGCCATGTTATGTGACAAATGACACTATATATTTTGGAACAGGAAGTTAAATTGGCATGTCAATAATTAGGCTTAAAAAGGAAGACCAATTACTAGTGATTACAAAAAAAAAAAAGAAAAAGAAAATTTGGACCTGGAAGTGAAAAAGTTTCTATTAATATTAAATTTGACAACTAATGAACATCACTTACATGGCCATTAGAAAAATGTCTGTATTCATATATTTAAGGAATATCCTATATTGATCAGCAGACTTTCTCCTAATACCCATTTGCAAACGATGCATTAATAACTAACTTTTCCTTATTCAACATGTTAATGTATCATTTTATGTTTACCAGATTAGAAGGAATTTCTTCAATACTACTTAAAACAAAATCATAAGTCTTAAAAACTTGAATCGAGTTCATAAATCATGCAGTTTGTAAAGTCGACAATTAAACCAATATTTCTATTCAGTGCTATAAATATGCCAACAGGCTCCGCAGAACTGGATCCATTCTAGACTCAAAACCAGGAAACCAACAATCTAGACGTTTTCTATTTATTGAAACATAATTAAATTCACACAAAGACTCCATCCATTCAGAAGAGACATTTAATTTGACTATATTTAGGCACAGTTGGCGGCAGAAGTTCTGCTGTTAAGTACAGCACTGGCACTAGCAATGGTCACAGGCTAATGATATGCGAGAATGAGTCATGAGTGTAGCCTCATAATGATAATATATGCTGAAATCTCAAAACATCACATATAAAGCTGCATGGAGACATCGTATTCCGACCATCTGAAGCAAACTCAATCAACAAACTACCAAACTGGTGACACTGACATCTCGGGTGCATGGCGCGTTGTTTTCGAAAAATCGAAGTCGAGACGAGGTGAGAACGAGAGCACATGAAGCCAAAGCACACCAAGCCATTTTAAAATGTCAGAACTCACCAATTTGCTTATCTTTCATATTTTCATATGGATTACCTGACCAACGCGCATGTTGATGGCATTTTGGCGTTGTTGATTCACAAATGAGGCTGTATTAATGTGCAGTGCATCTCTCCCAGTGCCAGCAAGTGAACCGGAAATGACGTAAGGGTACGGAAGGGCAAGTAACTCGTCTTGACTGAATAGCGGTAGCGCTCTCGTCTGTTTTTCAGAATTGAAACGTGCGAAAACGCATGTTTAGTGTTTATCATTCCAACTTTCCATCATATTAGCGACATGTGCTATTTGATGCTATTGTTGTCGTGTTTAGGATATATTAATCAATGAACCTGCACCATACATCTTGCTAAACGCGCACACGTTTAAGAAAACTAATATGTAGACGTGTAAAAATATATATCCTTCCGCTTTATGACCCCTATTTCACCCCAGAGGCAGATTTGGAGGGGGAGCCCAGATGGATGCAGCCCTTAGGCGTTTACAGTTTTATATTATTTACAAGTCGTCCTGCCATGTACGACTCTGGTGATGTAATACTACTAACCTAGTTGTTTGTTTGTTGTTTAACGCCGCACTCTGCAATATTCCATCTATATGACGGCGGTTTGTACAGAGTCTAGGGTAGACAATCCAGTGATTGATATCATGAGCATGACAACCCGATCCCGTGAGTCGCCTCTCACAAAGCACGGGTCCCTAAGACCACCAGATCTCCTCGGGTCAATACTACCAGCACGTCGACTAACACCAGGGCAGGTCCGAGACCAGAGCCTGTCGACAGTGACCTATCACCGAGCACCTGTCGCTGCCTGTACACGATAACGTCCGCCAGCTGCTGGGACGTGCTCGTTCCAAGATGGAAGCAGTCACGTGTCACAACTATATTCCCGTAGCTGTCGATACCCAACCAACTCCCAAATTACATGTAATAACAGATATATTCTATTTTCATCAGTCTATTGGAGGAGGTACATTTGTGCTACGTTTACAGTACTGCCAGTGTTATTCCACCATACATACACATTATCTTCCGGCTACTTGGTATGACCTTCAAGCGCATGTTTTTGTTTGTTTGTTTGTTTATTGTTTAACGCCGCACTCAGCAATCTTTCAGCTATATGACGGCGGTCTGTAAATAATCGAGTCTGAACCAGACAATCCAGTCATTGATATCATGAGCATCGATCCACGCAATTGGGAAACGATGACATGCATCAACCAAGTCACCATGCCTGACCGCCCTATCCCGTTAGTCGCCTCTTTCAACAAGCATAGACGCCTTTTACGGCAAGCATGGGTTGCTGAAGACCTATTCTATCCCGGATCGTCACGGGTCTCAAGAGCATGTCAATAACACAATTTACTATATACTAAGTCAGATAGATAGATAGATAGTATACATGTTATTTATTTTCAACAGTAAAGACAAGAAATACTAATAGGGCAAGATTGACAAAAAAAATGACTAAAGACAGTTTAATGGATTAAAAGGCAGAGGACATAATTGGTTTTTTTTCAGATGTTAAGGGCTGACACAGTTTCGGGTCAATACCCAAAATGTCAATCAATACCTGGTGTGACCACCATTAGCATTGATCACTGCCACACATCTCCTGTACATTGAGTGGATCAGACGATTTGTGAAGGCCCTAGGGATCCTCCTGCACACATCCAGAGCAGCTGTGTGTAGTTCATCGGCAGTTGTAGGGACTGGGCGCACATTGTGCATACGCCTTTGAACCTCATACCACAAGTGTTCGATGGGGTTCAGATCAGGGCTCAGGGCTGGCCACGGTAGAACACGGATGTTGTGTTGTTGCAGAAAGGCCATGGTAGCTCTGGCAACATGGGGATTAACGTTGTCCTGCTGGATAATGTGTTGTTGATGTTGTGCAAAATATGGAACAACGTGGGGTCTGATCACTTGGTCGATATACCGCTGAGCAGTGACGCCGTGTCCCCGACCTTGACCAACATTCAGAAAGCACATGGGTCCAAGTCTCGCATTAAGTCCAATCCCTGCCCATATCCTGACGCTAGGTCCACCTCATGGATCCCTTTCCACAACGTTTCTGTCACCGAAACGATCACCTCGACGCCGCCAAATTCTGACTCTTCCGTCTGCATGGGAGACACAAAAGCGACTTTCATCAGAGAAGAAGACACGCCTCCACTCACGATGACGCCTATTGCGATGACCCTGTGCCCACTGAAGTCGTGCTTGTCGATGCCGTGGTTGAGAACAGGACGACGTGATTGTGGGCGACATCTGAGGTTGTTTGAACGGAGACGTCGGATCACAGTGTCCCGGCTAATGTGTCGATTATGTGTTCCTATGGTCTGTCGAGCACTTTCACTTGCAGTTAGGAACGGATGTCGCTGGTGTTGACGGGTAATCTGCCGATCTTGTCGAGGTGTGGTGACCCTAGGACGACCGCTCCGAGGAAGGTCATCTGTGGTCTGTGTAGCATTGTATCGATGCAGGAGACAGTAAATTGTGGTTATGTTAATGTTGAAATGACGGGCAACATCTTGGACAGACTCTCCAGCTTCCAAACGTCCGAATGCCTGGTTTCTCTGAATTTGAGTTAGGCGTGGCATTGTTGACTAAGGAGTGGTAGTTCCAAGAAACGGCCACAGTTTTATACCCACTACAGTTCGTGCATTTTCGATTTCGCGGGAAATGGGTGCCTGATACTCACATATTCATTGGAATGGTGCGTTTTGGCGATTCGTTTTTTATGTTGCGTTTTTACTCGGGGCTTCCAAAATGCAACCAAAAATATTGATAACACCATCAGGCTTTACTACATGCTAAAACTCGTATCAATTTATGGTTCCGTGTTTGTTACCTATTTTCTTAAACCACTTGCGTTTCTTTTGCGTGTGAGTATATATTGTATGCCATAGGTTATGACAGATGTTACATAACCGAACACGATCCCCCACAGAAGAGAGTGTGTATAAATGTGTTTAAATACGTGTCACTGTCAGCAGGGTGGGGCAGTTGTTAGTCAGGTAGTGATTACTCGTCTCGCAGCCGACCCAGGTTCGATTCCCCACATGGGTGGAGCCCCTTGCTGGTGTCACCGTCGTGATGTTGCTGGAATGATGCTGTAAGCGCCGTAACACCACACTTCCTTACCGTATATGCTCTGACCATGTTATATGAAACATATAGGCTGTGTACACTGTCATATATGCAATCTGTACTGTTATGTTATAAATACTGTTATATACCCATATACTATGTCATATAGACAATGTCATATACTACTGCGTATGCCACAGTGAATGTTGCCTCACACTGACCTTAAACCCGTGAACACCCAGGATATTACTGATCTTCAGCAAACCATGTTTGTGGTAAGAGGCGACTATGCTTGTTTGTTTGTTTGTTTGTTTGTTGTTTAACGCCGCACTCAGCAATCTTCCAGCTCTATGGCGGCGGTCTGTAAATAATCGAGTGTGGACCAGACAATCCAGTCATTGAAATCATGAGCATCGATCCACGCATTTTTGATACGAAGTCATGCATCAACCAAGTCAGCGAGCCTGACCATCCGATCCCGTTAGTCGCCTCCTACAGCAAGCACGGGTTTCTGAAATCCTACCCCGGATCTTCAGGGGTCGACTAAGATTATCGTAAGGGGCGACTATGCTTGTCGTAAGAGGTGACTAACGGTATCAGGTAGTCGGGCTCGTTTACTTGGCTGATGCGTATCATCGATTAGATCATTGATTAGATCCATATGCTTACGATGTCACTCGATTGTCTGGTCCAGACTCGATTACAGACCGCCGACATAAAGCTGGAATATTGCTGAGTGTGGCGTAAAACAACAAACAAACACACCTAAACATATCGTGGCACTATTGCGTAGATGTGTGTGAGAACAAGGTCACAGCGGCTGTTCACGAGGTGCTTTCATCTTGCCGGTATTTCTAAACACCGTGCTTGAAATCCCATGCAGTTTAAGTCTGTCGTGTGTCAGCGTCCATCGATTTGGATCAGAATATTTTCGTGCGATAGGGTTACCTTGACAACCGGATGTAGAGTCTCAGCTGTGATGCTAGGTTTATCTGAGACAGCCTATTGACCACACACACACACACACACACACACACACAGCTGTGACTTCACTAACATTCTATATAGCCTGTTGCGTCCAGCGTCATCAGACTTAATTCAAAGTATTTATAGATTCAGGTCAACCCAGGGTCAAGTCGGAGGAGAGACGCGTGCAGCACGAGACTTATGGTGTAGGTTGCGCATATACGTTTCTTTGTTTGTATAAGCAATATTACCTCTATATGATGGCGGTCTGTAAATAATCGAGTCTAGACCGTACAATCCAGTGATTGACATTATGAGCATGGATCTACTTCACTGGGATACGGTATCAACCAAGTCAGCGAGTCTGACCACCCGATCCCCTAAGTCGCCTCTTACGACAAGCATAATCGCCTTTTACAGCAAGCATGGGTGTCTGAAGACACTATTACAGTTGTAATGTTTGAGGGAAGCACACAATGGCGCATTTAGAAAGAGATGTTGTGGATTGTGTAGATTCTGAAATACGACATCAAAGTAGAATTCTAAACCAACGCATAGGCGGATACAGAGGGTGGGTGCCCCTTTTTATTTCGAAAAAAACTTTATTTCTGTATAAATTACCACCAAAGACAATAAATAGATCTAAGTAGTGCACCCCCCCCCCCACCCCCCCCCCCCCCCCCCCCCCATTTTATTTAGCATGGTTGAGGCAGACATGACTCCCCCGTCCCTGAAGTTAGTCCGCGTCGATTGGTCACCTCCTGTCTGTAGGAGGCGGTCGGGTAGCCCAGTGGTTAAAGCGTTCGTTCATTACGCCCCAGGCCCGGGTTCGCTTCCCCACATTGGCACAGCCCATTTCTGCTGTCCCTCGACGTGATATTGCTGGAATATTGCTGAAAGCGTCGTAAAACATACTCAATCACTCACTCACCGCTAGTCGTAAGGGACAACCCACATGGGGAGTCAGGGATCTGAAATGTTGCGTTGAAAACTTCACCAGATCGTATTAAAGTAAAATATCTAATTTTAATGGGACTGAGGGTACCCTGATGTAGGAAGTGTTGAGTTGAGTGCTCCAAACTCCAGGTGAGTGAGTGAGTGAATGTGGTTTTTCGCCGCTTTATTTAGCAATATTCCAGCAATATCACGGCGGGGGACAACAGAAATGGTCTTCACACATTGTACCCCATGTCTGGAATCGAACCCGGGACTTCGGCGTGACGAGCGAACGCTTTAACGCGGTCTAGGGCTACGTGGTCTAGGGCGTGCCCGTTTCACAAAGCGATCTTGGCGCTTAGACTATCGCAACGCCCACAGTTAAATTTAGGTGTATATTTTCATTGTCGCAAAATCGTCCCAGTAGTGAGTGTGAATAAATGGATTTACATCCGTTTCACTATTACCAAGGGCGTTGGGTAAACCGATGGATTAACGACGACACCCATGATAGCAGTGTGGGAGCCCCGTTTTCCCCGGAATATTGCTAAATGGGGCGATAAACTGACTGTAAACACAATCGTAACCGTTCAAAACATGAACATTTATAGGATGTTTGTGCTACCTATATATCAAGTTACATGGGCTATTGTGCTCCCAATATGGCGTTACCCCCCTACATCATAGATACCCTTCCCATCATTTGCCCCAGCCAATCAATCTGGCTTTTTTGAGTTGTCGGCGACATGGTCAACGTGTCTCTGGTGCCGTAATTCGCCTTGCAGAGTTGCGTCCCTTAGACGTGGCAGAACATTTGATCTGGCTTCGATTCCCGGATCGCCCTAAATATGATTCTGGTTTGTCAGCACCATGCCGAGCTCGTGGGTTTCACCAGAGTGGTAAACGTCTAAGTCTCTAAGACCTGCATCACTTCGGGCTTTCTTCCCACATTAAGCTGAAAGGGCGCGATTTAACTGGAATCAAAGCGATGTTGAACCAATCTCACTCCCGCACTTGGAATTGTCATGTAAATGCATTGTACGGACAAACTGCCACAGCTGAAGTCAAGCTAGCTTTGTTCCACGCCTTGATATAGATTCTGAATCTTTTCATGAAGGAGACTGCCCCGCCTGTGTTCCGCTGCCTTGCAGTCAAGAATCTTCCTGGTGCGGGGGTTCGACTCTGGGTTTTGTGGAGCGGTGAATTTGTCCTTCAGCACCCGGAATGACCTGCCTTCCGTGAGGCTCGCCCTTCTACCCGCCGTGCTGCCTCTGCGGGCACTGTCGGTGGGAGTCCCATCAGGGAAACAAGGCACATACGTGTCATCAGGCTTGATGTCACCCCCTGTCTGTTCCTCCAGTAATGAAGCGATGGACATTCCACTCTGTCGACGACGAAGCCTTGGTTTTTGCATGTCTGGTGTCATTAAACCTCCGCCATCTTGGACCCCAGAGGTGATTGGCGGTAGGAGCAGACGATTTTCGCTGTTGAATTTATCATCCGTGAATTTCAGTGACCTGGAGGAAAGATTTCTTTGAAATTCATATATGTTTCCCAGGCTCTTGGAGTATCGGTTCCTGAATACTCTCTTTGCGTCATCGACCTTCTTCACCGTACTCTCCAGTGACCTTGAGACGCTGACGTTGGCAGCGCGGACCGGTTGCGTGAACTCTCGGCCCGTCAGTTTGTCTCGAGACTGGTGTTTCACCAGAGTTTTGGCTCGGCGTTCATACTCCAGACGTCTCACCATTTCACCCATCTCACCCGGTAGTCCCTACAGGCCTGCTCTCGTCTGAAAAACAACAAGGACATGTTACATTTCTTTGCATTATTATGTGCCCGAGGTGACTTCCGGTTAAAGGGGCGGTGAGGTAGCCTAGTGGTTAAAGCGTTCCCTCATCACGTCGAAGACCCGGGTTTGATTCCCCACATGAGTACAATGTGTCTAGCCAAGTTTTGGTGTCCCCAGCCCTGATATTACTGGAATATTGCTGAAAGAGGCGTAAAACCATATTCAATCCGCCTTGGTTAAAATTATGGTGGCCGAGAGGGGACATCGCTTTCTCGCTCTCTCGCTTTCTCGCTTTCTCGCTCTCTCGCTTTCTCGCTCTATCGCTTTCTCGCTTTATCGCTTTCTTGCTCTATCGCTTCCTCTAATGGCTAACCATAGTCATATGAAGGAATCGGGTGTTCTTTAACTTCTCTTTTGAATAGTATGTACTGTAAATCTTGAAATTAACGTTAGAGTTAATTATAAATGCAAACAAATTAGCGTAGACTTAATTACCGCATTCGACGTAATAAGCGCCCAGGGCGCTCTCAAAATTAGAATATTATTTTGGTGAAAAAAAAGTTGAGTTGAAAGATGAATTTCGTAGTTTATGCTGACAGCCTGAAATGTTTATGTACGACAGATATTATACGCGAATAAAGAAGTCTTGTGTACATTAATCAATCTGAAGGGGTGCTAATTGGGATTGTTCACTAGCCAATATATTAGCAAATATTGCCTTGGGCGTTTATTAGAGCGGGGCGCTTATTACGTCGAATACGGTAATTATACTTTGCATTTATGTCTCAGAAATGACTGTTGATAAGACGGCCTCACTGAACACTTTGAATAGCGGAAATAACCACTTGAATATAAAACCAATCAACTACCTATTTCCACATTACGGTTACTGAGAACAATATGTCATCCAACAACTAGAAATTACATAATGGACATCCGGTAGTATTACCATTCCTTGGGTGAGGACTTCCACTTTGATGACATCTACTCCGCAAACAGAATAAGCATTGATATAAGCGTTGTTTTTAGGAAAACACTATTGCTTTTTATGAAGTACGTACTACTCAGCGCTATTGAGCGGTGTTATTTGCTTTTTATTTTGCTAACTTGGCCTGGGGGCGGGGAATTCAATAGCTAAATAGGGCCATAAATCAATCAAATTCTTTTTTACGCAGAAATACGTGGATTGTTTTAAAAGCACATATGTCTGTACTGTTAATTTATAATTAAGTAGATAGTGAGATAATTTCAACATTCCGTCCATATGTATAATTTAAAATGCGACTTGGAAAAATCTCAGCTCTCTTTTATGATTAAAACCCACATCAGCACCCCGTGGGTCCAGTATATTGAGTTGTTTACACCAAAAAATGCTGTTTCGTGTGACTTCTAAAATGTATCTGTTCGTGTGCTGACCCACGTGGGTAACATGACGCATAAACACCGATGTTCATGTCTGATTAACTGTAGGCGAGATGGAGAGCCCTGTCTGTGCATCTTCACTGCAATGGGATTCATGCATGCGTGATGTCTGCATTCAGTAAGTAAATAGAGATCTGTACAGATATATTGGTGGGCAAGTTCAAAAGGATACTTAGATAATTACGCAGTGTGTTGTTACACTGGTGCGTGTTTTTAAATTGTATGCGGGGGGCAGAGATGGCCCAGTCGTCAGGGGGCCGGCACCTCGCTGTGTTTGTGGGTTCGAATCCCAGTTCGCCCCGATTATGTTTCTTGGTTTGTCAGCACCATACCCGTGCTCGTGGGTTTCACCGAAGTGGTACACGTCTAAGACCTGCATCACTTCGGCCATTCCTCATACATTAAGCTGACACGCAGTGATATAACTGGAATAATGTTAAAAGCGGGGTCACACACAACTCACTCACTAATACATACATAAGCAGCTCAACATTAACTGGGCAATACGTATTTACGCAAGTAAGCAGCTTATGCGGAGCTCTGTTGTGTTTATCCGAGTAGCTTGTTTACAAGCAAAGTGTCTACGTTTATAACTCCATAAACAAACAATAACATTGAAGTCAGTTCTTATAAATAGATAAGAACAACATTAACAGCTTCCCAGACTGCTTATTTAGTCATGAACATGAAAGCCCCGCAGACAATGATACGAACCAGTGGCATCGATCAACGCCATGATACAAAACAACCCTCACCTTCTCCATTGTCAACCAATCAGACTGACAGACAGACAGACTGACGGACAGACGGACAGACAGACAGACGGACGGACGGACGGACGGACGGACAGATAGACAGACAGACAGACGGACAGTTTTCAGTAATTTAGGCATCAAGGCCCATAGTACAAAGCAGACTGGATATTAACATTTGTCACGTGGTGTTCATGATTAGATTTTAAATCAAGTTACACATTCCTCATTATAAAGACATGTTTTAAGAAAACAGAAACAGCCTGGATCATATCAGGATGTTCAGAGTTTAGCAGATTTATCATTAACTGACGGTCTTTAAAAATACCTTGCTACATTGGGAGAAATTTGTACCTTAAATGGGAATACGTTTCACATATAAGTAGGACATGGTATTCATCATCTACTTCTCCGGATAAACAGTTTGTACAAATAGAGTTCACAATATCACCGTCTTTGGACTTGAGACATATATTTACATTAAAATTATGCAATGAAATTCTAAGTTTACAGTAAGCTCTGATTAAACTTTTATCATTTAAAGAAGTTCAATATCTTTCAGTTTGTAACAATGATTTTACTTTGCTGTAATTGATCAGATAAAGTGATTCAGAAATACTTTGGTGCCACTGTTGACAAAATATATCCTTTAGTCTTTGCTTAAATGCACATAAAAATAACTTTGGATCTCCCACATGTTGGGAAATCCATACATATGAAAAGCCTCTGATAAATAATGGATTTCTCACATCTGAAACCCAATTATGTTTCCATTATCATCAAGTACGGCCTGTTTCACCAAGGATTGCCTTGTTTGAGGCAAACTTACCAACACCTAGAAAACATTTGAAATATGAAGTGTGAACTTTTTCAAATGTAGCGTAATACTTAGCACCCCATATTTCAAAACCATACAAAAGTATAGGCATAATTTTGCCTTCAAAAATGGTACATGCTGTGAAAAAAAAACACGCGACTATTTTTCCTGAATAAATTATAAAGAGGTATAATGGCTTGAGACGCCTGAGCAGCTAATTGCTTACATGCCATAAACCATGACAATCTAGAGGAGAACATAAGACCTAAATATTTAAAGTAAGTGACTACACTCAAGGCAGACGAACCAAGAAACCACTTTTCATGTTTTGCAACAATACCACCTTTTCTAAAAACTACAACATTCAGATTCGGCGTCGGCGTTCAGATTTACTTCAAGACTCCATTTTGAACAGTAACTCTGTAACATCATCAGCAAAGAGAAGGAGCATAATGTCCATCATATCCTGTGTTACAAATATCCCATGTTGACAACTATTTTGCAGCTCTATATCAAGTTCATTTACGAGATAAATAAACAATAACGGACTTAAAACACAACCTTGTCGTACACCGGAGATGTTGTAAAGCATTCCGTACGTTCATACTTATATTCCAAGATTCTGGAAACACACCCATGTCTAAAGTCTTATTGAACAATAGCTTCAAGTATGGTGAAAAGAGATTCGATGGTAGTTTAAAGAATTCAGGAGTATCCTATCTTCACCTGCGGACTTGCCCGTACTCAGATTATTTATAGCGTCCGTGACCTCTCTTTCAGTGATCTCACCTGACAGGACCTCATCCGAAAAGGGTGAATCATTACAGTTATCACATGTATGAGAGTGCAGAAACTCCTCCACAAAACGACCAAACTCATTATTATCAGTTCCTTGTTAGGGATAAAGAAGATCTCTAAAGTAAGTCAGCCAGTCACTTGGAGATATGTAGCTTCTCAGTGGACGTCGCTGTATGGTCTTCTTCACTGTCTTCCAAAACTGTTTACAATCACTGTGTTTAGCAGCGGTATTGATTTCTTTCTTTTTGTTGCAACATTTCTTGAAACCATATTTGGCTGATATGTACTGCTTTAAGTTTGAATCACACTTACAACTTCTAAATGTATTCAAAAGTCTGTATTTTCTCGGACTTCAGAAACTCGCACTCCTTATCAAACCACGGAGGCTGATAGCTTTGTCTACCTGAAGTTCCTATAGAAACAGCTGACTTTGCACAGTAGAGTATGATATCTCTCAGCTTACATACTGCAGCATTTACATTTTGATCTACCAATAATATATATTCTTCAAACATCACTTAACAAATATCTTCGCTGAGATACTTAACATAAGATGAAAACTGTTCTGAAGATTATTTATATTTAGGAACATAGGATAAATTAACAGAAGCAGTTCTTTCCTTGTAGACTCCAGCAGTAACAATATCCTTGAAACTGCATACTGCAGGTAAGTGATCAGACTCTGTGCGTGGTGAAACGGACATATCTAATACATTTGGAAATAACTCAGTAGATACAACAGAATAATGTACAACACTGCAACCTGTATGGGAGATGAAGGTAAGGTATCAGCCAATCAGGAGTTAGTAATACGTCAGTGGGCATGGAAACATGGCGCCAAAGCAATTGTTTGGTTAGCCAATCAGCAATCTCATTAAAATCAGATCTTAGTTCTCGTTACCGCTAAACAAAGCCAATCAGATGCCACGGAATCACTTACCATATAATAATATTGTTTTAAAAAGTGCTATATTTTGTTTATTTCTAAAGATATATTGCGTATCGTTATTAAAAGTGGTATATTTCGTATTATTATAAAGAGTGGTATATTTTGTATTGTAAAGAGGTGGTATATTTTGTATATTTCCAAAATGGTGGTATTCTAGTATTTCGTATTGTTATATAGAGGTGGTATATTTCGCATTGCCATAGAGAGATGGTATATTTATAAGTGTGTGGTCACTGCAGAAGACGTTTTCGGCGCCGGTGAC